TATATGTCATTTTAAACGACCCATTGGTATTAACATGGTAACATCAATGTATTTTTAAAAATTAGACAGCGACGTTCTCTCAGAAGTTGTTCTGTAGACGTTTATCTATTGATGACCTTTTGACCTCCAGAATTCTGCAATGAGATTTATCGGGTCGATTCAGCCGAGACGGCCCGAGTGGAGTTTCATGTAAATTTTTCGTACGGAAAAAAAAATCGCAGCCAGGAATCCTCAACCAAATCCAGCACGCTTGGTTGTTAAAAATTTACCAGGTTTATTGAGTGTTACTCCTTAGTCAGCCAAAACGATCACCTATATATAGTCTACAGAAGACTGGAAAACAAATTATTCTGTAATAAAAATTACTATGGATTTCACGTTTTATAAGATGTGGTGATCATCATATTTTTCTCATAAAATTTCAAACACTAACATAAAACAAATTGTGAATACCGGTAATCATAAACATTATGGAAACTATTTTTAAAAATTAAATCTTTCAGTCTACCTACAAATTTATTTGCTAGGAAGAAAACAAAATGTTATATTACAACTTGAACCAGACCCATCCTCATTCTTTTTTTTCTTATAAACTATAAACAAAATATAAATCAAATACTTGAGGAATTCAAAAGTAAACCTAATGTTAGCACCTTCATGATAGTAAATCCAGATGTAAAATGTTTGTAGAAAATTGAACAAGAAGATATAATCTCGTAGCAGTCTAGATTTTAGAGAACATGAGAACCCGGATTTAGGTAACATTGCTCTCACATTGAATGTTTATTTTATTATTTTTTTAAAATTTGTAGTTATTTTTTTCTCTTTCTAGGGATCGTTGTAGAGTTACATCATCCCATTTAAAAACCAGCTAGATTGACATTCCATCAGTTAGAATTAAAGGTTTTACGATATAGAAGCATACAACAGTTACTATTTACAAAATTTATAACTAGGTAACACTTAGCAAATCACTCAAATAAACCTTTTTAGGCTATTTTTAACTATGTCAATGTTAAATACTGTAATTTTACATGTCAGTGATTTGTATTATAAAAGGGAATGAAAAGAAGACCGTGGAACCATGACAAGGAAGAAGACTATACTACTGTACTATATGTAAATATTAGGACATCATGTTTGGAATTTTAACACATGAAGAGATGTTGTACTGATGGGTGCTTTGCATACATAATGTGATTTTGTCAATCAGCTTAAAATAGAAATAACATGCGTAATGCCACTTAGACTACAGAAATTTCTGTTTTGTAGTACGTGCACCGTAGATAGTAGTCTCAGACAGTAGCACAAGCTGTTGGCTGAGAGGACGTCAGTTATAAGATTTTATTGTGATAGTAGATCAATGCAAAATATGACTGTACTCTATTATTTTCGTAGTGCATGATGTGTTTTAATTAAGTTTCTGATTAAGGTTTAAATAATAATAATAGTAATTTAATAATATGTTGATATTAGGATGATATCATCCATTATTAGTCATCAAGTATTGTCACCAGTTTACAATTATTTATTGAAATTTAAAAAAAAAATTATAAATTTGCCATGTAATGGACTGTGCATGAATAAATAACATTTTTTTTGGTTTCATTTTGTTTGATAGAACCTCTATAGATCAAATATGAATTTTTATGCTAATGAGGAAAAAAAAGGTTAAATTTACAGTGTACAGCAGTTAATTGTAGACATGTCGAGGAGGTGTTTTCCATAATGCTTCATTTCTGTAAGCTGAATAACTTAGTACAACAGCTTTCACATATATCTCTTGCATGAGGTGTCTAGAACACAGCCTTGGGCCTGAAGCAAGGTCAGGTTCATTTGCATTGCTGAGTACGAGTACGAATGGGCAGCGATAATTAATGCTAGACTAAGCTAATTGCCTTAAAAATGAGCCATTAAGGGTGTGGCTATGGTTTTATTAAAAACAAGAATTTTATTGAAGGCTAACAATGATGTCATATTGCAATTGAGAAATGTTTATATTAATCTAAATTTTATTGCAGCCTTATCCAACAGTGTCTGAACTATAATAAACCTCTCGCAAATGGCTTCAGGAATATTGCAGTTATTTATATATTTTCAAGAATTTTTTTTTTTTATAGGATAATTATAATTTATAGTAATCAGCATTATGTTGAAATTACAGATGTTTTTTTCACATGTAAAAGAGGAGGAGGCTCATTCTTTCATTCATGTTAATGTTAACATTATAATTCATATCCACGCAGTACTTTGTACTGAGTGATTTTAAACTAGGTCTCTTTATGTGGCTTCAAACGTATTACAGAGGAATTTTGTCATTTTTGCCAACTGATAGAATTTTTCAACGCTGCATTTTGGATGATCACCTAATATGTATCACTTACTTTCTGTTCAAATTTTTGTCTTAGACATTTATCCCGTTTTATTCCATTTGAAAAAAAGAAACATCCTGAGCTATTCCTTTTCTGATTGGCTGTGATACAGTCAGTACTTAGCATCACAAAATCATGACCATTGGATTAAGTGATATAAACTAATTGATGATGTCATAATTATGTGCTTATCCTTATTTGTTTCTTCCACCAGGCAATTATTGAATATTACTAATGAGTAGCCATCACTAGTGCACAATGGGTGATGAATCTGAATGGCTAAAACTTCCACTTGATGATAGATGTGTACATAAGGTAATGGTATTCATATTAAAGTGAATTTTTTGATACATTTCATTGCAGTTATAATACCGCCAACTACTAATACATTGCAATTATTTAGTCTTGTTCTACACTGTACAAGATCTAATTAAAACTTCGGATGGGAGATTGCTGATTTCAAATATCGTAAATGCTCGAATAAGAGCTGCGGCAATTTTTTGAGGGTTCAGTTCGGCGCTTATTCAAGAGTGGCACTTATAGAAAATGCCCATTCCTATATAACTCATGTATTCCCATAGTTCAGTAGGCCTATCAGGTCCTACGTCATCATAAATAAACGTTTAAATAGAGAAATGCTTGTGTCTTCATTGTGTTATTTATTTATTTTAACACTGTATACATTGTATTAAAACCCTGTTTCTCAAAGTGTTTCATTATACATGTATGGTAATATAAACAAATTTTCAATTAAGCACGCAGTGCTTATTCGAGAGCGGTGCTTAGCTAAATAAAAAATCAGGCTTGGCGCGGCGCTTATTCGAGCATTTACGATAGTCTTGTTATTCAAACATATCATACTGTACACAAACAATAATAATCAGCATTAATTACAAAAATAACCTAATAATTATGCAAAGATATAATTAAGTATAATTCAAGGTTTAAAATTCCATTCTTATTATTGTCATCACCATCATCATTGATTCATCTTTGTCATTATTGTGTCATTATTGTCACCATCATTATCGTCATTGTCATCTATTATTGTCGTCATCATTATCTGTACTGTAATAACCAACTGTAGTCAAATACTTTTCTCCTCAGGTTTGGAAGGCTAGATTACATGGCTACACAGAAGCTATCAAGTACTTTGGAACATTGGACAGCAAGAGTCCAGAATTCACAAAGTATCTTGGCATCATCAAGAAGTTTGTGGTCGACACAAATGCCGTAGCCCAAGAGAAGGGCTTGGATGCTACCTTGGCATTTTTGGAAAATGCAGCCTCTGCTCACAAGTAAGCTTTATAGTATAATTTTCCAACTACAGTAGAACCCCTATTAAGGGGACACTTTTGGGACAAAAAAAAAGTGACCCCTTGGTGTGTCCCTTGGATAGATTTTGGCCGTAGTGTTAAAAGGTAGACTCCCTTATTTTGTGCCCTAAAATGTGTCTGTGCCCCCTTAATTGGGTGTCCCAAAGGAGGGGGGGGGGGTTCTACTGTATTAATGATTTTGCTCTGTTTTTTTATATAATAATTTTATTTCTTGAAAAAAAAAAAAAAACTTTTCACAATTTATTACTTTTTTTATGTTCACATATTTATATTATTTACTTTTAAAAAAATTTAGTTTTTTTATTGTTTTTTTTTTATCCTATTTTCTTCCTTCTTTAGCATTCATATATTTTCAAAACAAATACTACAGTATCTCCACTTGTGACAATTTACAAAAAGAAAGTAACCCTATGTGTTTAAATTGGTGCCTGTCGGTTTATTGCCTAGTTTATTAATTTACTTTAAATCTTTGCAAAAAATTATAATATAATAATAATGATACTGTTAATTTTGTGAAGATTATTTTCTTGAATGTAAAAATTGCTTTGTCAATTTGATTACAGTAGCTTACTATAAATGGCAAGATAATACTAGAATGCATTACCTTCTCAGAGGTTATTAATTTGGTCCAGTTATCAACTGTAGTAGTGCATAGCCTGACAGTTAGTTAATACTATTGCATTAATTACATTCGTCTTGTTGTGAATCTAGATACAGTAGGTCAAGGGTAGTCCAAGTGAAGTGCAGTGTATATTAGACCGATTCCTATGCACATGCCTGTATTTGTGTTTTAATTTGTTATCGATAATATTTTTCAAGTCTAATATAGATTTTATTTTTATGTACACAGAGCACTAACTATTGTCTGTATATATGTTTTGTACTGTATGGTAATAAACAAAATTTATTATACAGTATGAAAATATTTATTATAAATTAAGATGTTTAAAATATAACCATACATATTTTTTTTTTATAATAAACTATAAAATAATTATATTAATTATTAAATGATAATTAAATAATATAAATTTTTATTTTTATTTTTTGGTATTAACCATTTGTAATTACTGTACATGGTAATTTTAAAATGATTCTTAATGATTTTTATTCAAAAAATTTACAGTACTGTAAAGAGAAATGACAAAATTTGATGTGGTGCATGCTTATATAGCTCTAGGGTTGTAGGATTATAAGTGACAATTTTTCTTACAGCAGAAAGATATCTCCCTTTGTGTGCCTCATAATGAGACTTACTAATCATTTATTAATAATTTTCAATTATATCCTGTTGTTGACTGAGAATGAATACAAATTTAATGAGCGCTGTGTATTATGAAAATGTTGTTTTAAAAATGATCTGTCTACAGCTAATATATACTTTCACTGAATTATTAAACATGTATACAAGTCCATTAAAACCATAGACTATGTGATACAGTAAATATATAATGACATTAAAAGAAAAAAGAACATTCAGTACAGCTGAAACAAACATTTTACTAGACTAAAATAGTGTTTACTTATTTTGTAACAACAAATCTTTAAATTTTCTGTAGTATAATTCAACTTGAATACATACAACTAGAAATTGTTTATCAAACCTAGAGATATATTCTTGAAATTAGAATCTTACAAGACCTTGAACATCTGTATTGATTTCTGCAAAGAGTATCTTTAAATCATACTGTACAAAATTGTTCTTTTTCTTTTTTTTTTTCCTAATTTGACAATTGTTTGAATTGAACTGTAAAACATTTGTTGTTACTGTAAGTTGTAAAAAAAAAAAAAAAACATTTCAGTTTGAAAGGCCATGTTCACAATTGAGTATACCTCCCGCAAATTTACTTTTCATAAATGCAAAGGAAGGCTTAGGAAAGATTTATGTTGCAAAAATACTTGCAGTCACCTATGGCTTCCATATTTCCATTCTCTAATTACTGTAGAGTACAGTACTGTAGAATGAAGCCTCAGTAGGATTAACCTTTGGTCAACTTGTAAAGCAATAAAACTATAAGAGAGGTTTTTTACAATGTTGTATGTTACCGTAGAGTACTGTGTAATAATGTACTGTAGTAAAAAGCCTGTGTTTGTGATGTCAAATTTATATTTCTGTTGATTCTTGTATTATGCTAAATATATTTAACAAATTCATGGCTTTTACATATTTTAATGGCATTTGTGTAATATAAATGAATAAATTATATTAGTATTATTAGTATTGTATGTGTATTGTAAATTAAAAATATTTGACCTTTTTTAAATTATAACAATAGTGATGATGGTGGGTAATAAGAGCATTTTGGGATTGAACTTGTTTTTTAATTTTGTTTGCATTAAGATTGAATTGTATGTAATTTTTGTCATTTTTCATCAATGAAATGACATTACTTACAGTGGAACCCCGTTTTTACGTACCCTAGTTATACGGACCCTCGGTTTTACATACGCCTCGTATGGACGATGACGTCATCAAAAACCCCGAAAATATTTAAAACAAACGGCCCTTTTGAGAGCAACCATAAGTAAAATGACTATAACAATAAACTATAACAATAAACAAACCATAATGTAACATATTTTCATTAAACAGCAACGTTGATTGAGTCTAATACCGGGTTGTTATAATCTAAAACCATGTGAACTGAGTGAGATGAACAACTACCGATGGTGCTCAAAATAATTGCTTTCCTCCTTAGCTTCGTGTGGCAAACAATGGAAGAACTCGTCTGGTCAAATTTTCTACACGAAGCTGGGTAGACATAGTTTCGTACACGAACGCTAATTGGTTGGCTCGCCCAATGCATAGCACATGGTTGCTGTTTCACGTACACGAACGCTAATTGTTTGGCTCGCCCAGTGCAGCGCACATGGTTTTAGTTTGTCTTAACAGGCCCAGACAGCACCACAGCTCTGTTGTTAGAATAGGCTTGAAGGGGAATTCCCAAGTTATACCTTTTCGTATTGGTAATCTTACAATATTTTCATGTTCTTTATTTTAGTTTAAAAATAAAAGTTATAAAGTGATGAATTAATACACTAGGCACATGGTTTTATTTGAACACTTTATTATGACATTGTAAAGTGATAATAAAAACACTAAACACATGGTTTTATTCGTAGGCCTAGGCCAGAGGCTAGGTCTAGCCTAGGTAACATCGTTCTTTCGTACATACGTTTATTGAGCGTTACGTACGTATTAGGTCAAAGGTTACCACAAATTTAACCCAACCTCTATTTTACGAATCCCCCAATTTACATACGCCCTCTGGTCCCGTACCGTACGTAAAATTGAGGTTCTACTGTAATTATAATTGCTATCAACATCATTGAAACTGTTATCAAATCATTACCATAATTTAAATTGCTATTTTTGTTATATTGCCATTAGCATCACCATATCTTTTTCATCATTGACATTGTCAGTCATTTCTTTTTCATCATCATGACCACCCTCAACACTATATGTATTGTCATTATTACTTGTTCTCAGTATCATCATAACCTGTAGTAACATTAAATTAATATCCACTTTCATCAATGAGATACTGTACTCCAACTGAAATTTTCCAATATTCAAATAGCAAAATAATTTGTATATCAATAGGTAAACAATATCAACGCACCTTTCCATTAGCCGTCCTCAAGCCACTACATATCTAAATCACATCACGTCTTTTAATGTGATAACATTTTATGTTCCCCTAGGACCTGTGCTGAGGTATCTGCAGGTGTTGTAACAAAATGTTTGAATTCTTCAAGGACCAAAACAAAAGAAAAGGGAATTGAAATCCTTATGGTTTGCATTGAACTGGAAAAACAAGAAATTGTTATTGTAAGTATTATTTTTTTTTATTGGCTGGCTTAGAATGATGTACTGCTTGTTAATGTTAATTTCACTTTTAAAAATTAAAATTATCCTTATTATCGTTATTATTGTTGAATTTAAAGGTAGATAGTTAGAACATTAATTACATTTGTGCAATCTATTGCATCCAATTTAGTGAATCTATTGTTGCAAATTCCATTAAGGGCTAAATATTATCTTCTAAAATTACTCATTTATGTACAAAATATATTTGACAATTATTATACTTTTTTTGAAAGCTTATTAGTAACATGCTTTTAAAGTAGATTTTTGTTATTAAACTCTATCCACACATTACAAACAAATACCTATGATTTGTCAATATATGTTGTTGCAGTGTAAGCATCATGTCCATTTATTGGCAAGTCATACAGTTTCATAGTATTTAATAGGATATTGAGAGCTATAACAACCAAGAAATTCATTTAATATTTAGAAGAACAAAATTAACATTAACTATGAAAGCGATATCAGAGCTCAGAATTAAATAGCATTTCTTTATAAGATACATTTTCCGTTGCAATTTCTAATTTCGCACAAGTACTCAAAAACGCTTGAGAATTTTGAACAGTAGTTTTTGCATTTCAGAAAGGAAGATATTGAAGAACATTTCTGCAAAATATCAATCACTAAATTTAGCGGAAAATATATTAAAATTAATTTAAATATACAAATCTTATTACTAAACTATTAATTTTGGAATTTTGGAAGCTGTTTTTTTCAAAACCTACATGGCTAATATCAGATGAATTAAATTTATTCATAACTTCGCTAATTATACTTAACCAGTTCACAACAAATAAACACTGTTTTTAAGAGGAATTGAGGCAGAATTAAAAAAAAAAAAATACCAAAAACTTCGATTTTTTTGACAAACAGATGGTTTTGGCAGAGCCAGTCACATTTAATATAAAAATAAAATGAAAGATATAGTACATGATGACTTACTTTCATATTCAGTGCAGAGCAACTACTGTCATTGAACACTTTATAGTTACAGTACAATCACTATGATATACCATATTTGTCTTTAATTCCCAATGGAAACAAATTGGTATGTAAACTTAATGGCACATATACCTTAATTTATTTACCATACAGATATAACAAATCCCAATGGAGTAGAGATGGTTCTGCATATTTATAATAATTAAATAATTGGGATAGTAGGTCAATAACAATGTAACATCTGTGACATCCAAAATATTTACAAAGTAAATTTGTTGAATTCAAAAAGAGAAAATTGAAGGTCATTTCTGTTCTCATATCAATTAATCATTAATAATTTCAACTTCACTATAGTTGCAGAATAAATTTATTCTTTTTTTTTTTTTTTTTTATTCGTGAGCAGGAGGTTTATTTACTTTACAATGCAAAATATCATGCTTATTTTTTTGATTATTAGAAGAATACAATTGATAATCCATGCAATTTTTATAGTAATTGTTAATATATTTATTATCAGAAGGTCATGGGTTCGAATCCCGGTGTGGACATATATTTATCTCAAATATTTACTATCATAATTTTGTTATAATTGATTGTATATGTTTTTCTAATTAATTTGTTTCTGTTAAAATATACAGGAAGAGGTGATGAAAGGATTGACCAATAAGCAGCCAAAAATTGTTGCAGCTTCTATTCTAGTATTACGGACTGCAATTAGCAATTTTGGTTCGAAAATTATCACCCTGAAACCGATTGTAAAAGTTATGCCAAAGCTATTTGAGCACAGTGACAAAAATGTGAGAGAGGAAGCCAAACTGCTGGCCATTGAGATCTATAGATGGATTGGTGCGGTATTTAAGCCTGGCCTACAAAAAATTAAGCCTGTACAGGTAAAGAAGCCATTTATTGAATGAACCAAAGTGTATCTGTAAGCTCTCTGCTTAGTTCTTACGTACACATTTTTAAAGAGTAAAGTTGTCAGTTGGGAGTATGGTATGGCAGTTGAATTAAATAAATTTTTTGGTTTACATTTTTTTTTCTCAAGTGTGTTGTTCTAGGCGTTAGACTTGGGGAAGGGACCCTGTTGTGAATCATGGCCTGGGGCTGGCAGACTTTCAAAGGGGAGACGGGTAGTGTTGTTTGCAGACTTGGCCTATGCCTAGACTATTTTTCTTTCCTGTCGCACTCTGCTGCACTTGATTCACTGGAACTAAAATGTCACAGTGAATGGGACAACAAAATTATCATATAAACTGGCATCAAACACAACCATAATTTTATTCCACATGACACATGATAAACCAATCAAATGAGAGAGCAGCTTAGCTCAGTCGGCTAATGTGGTGGTAGCCACTTTGTGTGCGCTGAACCGTATAGATCTCTAGGTCCCCGGTTCAATTCCCATTTGCTGCCTCTCTCTCTCTTGCCTATTTTAATACACTATTTAGATAGGCTTTTCTTTTTCCATTTTGATTTCGGAGGTGATAAACATTTTCAATTTTTTTTTCAATCATATAGTGGTGTAGAATAATCTTATGAGAACGTTTTCCAGAAAAAGATAATGTAATACGACCCTCTGTTAAATAGAGTTATGAATTTTTAGATAACATTGGGACAAGAATTTAGCTTCAAAGTTTATCTTATTTCTGTTGGTTACACACCACTGACTTGGGTTGTTTGTCATCACTTCAAGATGTTTACCGATTCATGGAAAAGGCCTATGGCACACCATCTTTCAGATGAGACGTTTAAGCCGTTGATTCCGTGTGCATTGATGGCCCATGTGCACATTAAAGAACGTGGTACACTCTTCGGAAAAGAGTAGGGGATTGTCTACCGGTGTACTGTCCAATCACCACCAGAAGGACCCCACTGAAAAAGTCTTCTAGACTTTCGTGGGCTATCCTTGGTGTTTACACCGAATAAATCTAATCCAATCCAGTCTAGTATATGTGTTGTAAAAATGATAGTGTATCAAAAAGTGGACAATAAAAATAACTAGACCTACTATATCTGTTTGTAATTTAACAGAACAGGGCTTTTCCTCATGACATGATGAGAACTGATTTTTAAATTATGAAAGTTATAAAAAAAAAATCTTAAATAAAATTTAAGCTACTGATACTTCAAACTAAGGCTACAATGGTACTGTACATAAGATAATATGGAAGGGTTGTAAACATTGCACTATAGAACCCAACCATGTGAGGGCTACTACTATTATATTTTCAATCTATTATATTATATAAAGCCAAGACTAGTCACTCCTTGCAAATCCTGTTTCAGAGATAATGGCCAAAACATTCTGGCATATCAATTATTTTTTTAATCTGTTTTATAGCACTAAACTTAACTTCATATATCTATACATCATGCTACAGTGTATGCTGTTATTTTCCCTATTTTCAATGTTAAAACAAAAATTTTTAACAATTTGGTGATGGTTTCTGCCTGAGAAATGCCCGAAATCAACTTTGAAGGCTCATTTCTCAAATATTGTTTTTTAGCAGCTGTATGTTTAAGCGCTTGTAACTTCTTAAGGGAATGTTGGATTTAAATGATTCTTTTACCATATTATAGCTCTCATTTTACTGATGAACACTGTATCATTAACTAAAAATCAATTTTTGTGACTATTGACTGGTTTGGCTTGACTTTGCCATATGTAGAATGACATTATTTTTAACTGGGCAATAATACAAATAATAAACTGTTACCTTAATGCATGAATGAGATGATGTTCACTTATTCTTAAAGATGAAAGAATTAGAGGAAGAATTTGAAAAGTTACCAAACAAAGCACCCAAACAGATTCGCTTCTTGAAGTCGCAGCAGGAACTGAAGGAGAAGTTTGAAGAGGCAGCTGCTGGTGGCGGTGGTAAGTAATAGAAGGATTCGGCGATGGGCGTCACATCACCTAACTTGGGTCTTGGGTTATAAACAATCGGCTGGCACAGCTGTGTTTTACAAGGAGATTATTATTGTGGCCATCCCTTGTTGTTGTAAAGATCATCATAATTCCCAGTAAACTATACCAAATTAATTGGAAATTAAACTTGAGAATTTTGCCTTTAATAATGGCTTGCTAATGCTGTAAAGGATACTGGCCACAAACAATGAGATTTTTCGACAAAATGTTAGGCCTAGGCCCCTGCACATCTATGGCATGGTTAGGTATGCGTGATGGTTTTTTGGACCCGTTAACTACGCTGCGATGTTAGAGCTAGTTAAGGTTTATTATATGAAGGATCCCTTCAAATTCAAAGCATACAATTCTGAGAGAATTCTAGGATAAGTAAATAAACACTATTTTGAACATTCATATTGCCTTTCTTAGTCATTTATTTCTCACGTTAACAGTGGGTGGAAGTTTTTGCAACCATAACATTATCTTTTCCTATACTATCGCCCAGTCATGTTTTTCATGTATACCTAAGTTATACTGACTGTGACTGACTAAACAAACATCGTCGAATCCGTCTATTGATGTGCTCGTCATTTCCATTTTGTATTTTAATATGTTAAACATAGCATTTTATGGAGCATTTAATATTAATCAGCTGATGGTTAGATATTTGGTAGTAATTAGTATGCACTTAGTGTATTAAAAAGAAGTCAAAGGTCAGTTATGATGCAAAAATATTTTATATTTGGCCTAAGTGAGTAGGATGAATTTTTGAGAAAAAAATTTGAAGGAATGGTATTATCTGGGTGTCTGCTGTTAGGAGCTAAAAAGAAAAACAAATTTTCATTCTAGTGTTCAATTTAAAGCTAATAACATACAGAGTACGCAATTAAAAAGTTTATTGTTTTGTTTTATTAACTCCACATATAAACAGTATATTTTTAATATTGTTTTTCATTGATATTCTTAGAATCTGAAGACGATGATGAAGATGATGTTAGACCTGAAGTGGATCCTTTTGAATTGTTACCAGCTGTTGATGTTTTGTCCAAGTTGCCAAAAGACTTTTTCGAAAACATTGTAGGTTTCACATGTATTTACATCTAATTAAATACTTAATGCACCTAAATCCATACCCATTTTTATTACATGAAGTTATTTTATTTAATAGTATGCTCAAGAACGTTTTACACATCATGATTTATTTTCTATTAATGTACAGTAGGTCTTCATAAAAAAAAATATATAAACATACTTTGCATATTGGCCATGATTTGTTACAATTCTTAAGGTTATTTTTAAAAAAGTGATTAATATCGATATTTATTACATATTTACATAGTTTGCATATGATAGGATGGAATATATTTGTTACAAATTAATAATGGATACAAAAAAGTCTGCAGTATGTTTTTGACATTAACATTCATAAGTTAGGATTACCTCATATTTAGTGTCTGACACTCATGATGAGGCCTAACTGCCTTGGATGTAACTGGACATCCTAATCTAATTGCATAAAACTACATATCATAATATACGTTTCCGTTCTTAATTTACCCCACTTCCTCGCATATGTCAAATAACAATGACACAAGCCTAAGGACTTCCTGTTGATTTTAAATGTTTGTTTTGTGATAAAATTTCAAAATAGATGGGAACCATGTTAATGGTACTCGCCTACCAATTCCAGGATCATAGGTTCAATCTTAAGGTACAGGTCTCCCTCCAATTAAAGACCACTTTTGGGACTGGAGTTTTCACAGTCTTTAGAAGCTTTTGTCTTTAATAATAGAAAAATATTTTTATTTGGGCTGCAAAATGGTGTTTTTTTAATTGGAGGGATCTTTATTTGGAGAGAGACTTGTAGTTTTAAAGGAATTATACTTCTTAACGATACAAGTCTGTTGTAAAATAGGTGGTGGTGGGGGTGGAAGAAGAAACAAATAATACCTAATAAATACAATGTTTTAATTTTTTTTTGTGCCAAAGGTTAACAGTTGATCAGCGCACACAAATTGCCTACCACCAGATAGCCAACTGAGCTATGCTGCTCTCTTAGTATTGGTTATTTGGCCTGGAAAATATTGTTTTAATTTAAATTAATTCTTTTATACTTCTGCAGGAGGCTAAGAAATGGCAAACCAGGAAGGAAGCACTGGACAATTTGTTGCCCTTAGCAACGAGTCCTAAAATAGAGGGCGGTGATTTTGCAGAGCTGGTGCGAGTTTTAAAGAAGGTATGTTTAACAAAGTAGCTGCTTGCTTACTGTATGTTTACCCAATGATTGGTTTTGTTAGCGGATTTCATTTGTTCTGAAAAAGATTATAAGATTAAAGCCTATGTAATATACAAGATGAATTATTGCCCCCTCCCCCTCACCCAAAAAAGATCTATTAATCAATTGGTCGAGTGTTCTAGAAAGGCCAGATAGAACATTTTGTTAGGCTAATTAGCTGTTGTGTTCCCTGGCAAATTACCGTAAAACCTCAAATTGAAGCCCTGGGCTGCTTCTTTGGATGGGCTTCTTTTGGAGGCTACATTTGTAAAGTAAAGAGGGGGTCATCTCGAGATTAAGCCCATTGGGCTTCAATTCAAGGTTTTGCGCTATATATCCAGGAATGCCAAATAAATACCACCATTATAACATCACAACCACCCAGCACAATATACATTCATTTTGTCTTTAATTGTATATTGACTGAAATACTATTTTGTATAGTGATGTCAATAAAAGAATCTGAATCTCTATCATTAATTATGAGTTGTAAATTGATTGCTATATAATCATTGTTTTTCACAGGTGGTCAGTAAAGATACGAATGTGATGATAGTGACTGTGGCTGGTAAGTGCCTCGGAGGGCTTGCTATTGGACTCCGCAAGAAATTCACTCCATATGCTGTGGCTGTGAGTATTAGAGTTTCTTGTTGCTGTTTGGGGTTTATAACATCTTAAGGATAAATTTAATACAGTAGAACTCCTCCTTTGGGACTCCCTATTAAGGGGTCACCCCTATTAAGGGATCACCCCTATTAAGGGGACATCCCTATTAAGAGGACACATATTTCAACCACAAAACAAGGGAAGTATATCTTTTAACACTACGGCCAACCCCTATTTAGAGGACAATTTTGGGCCTGAAGGTGTCTCTAGAAGAAGAAGAAGAAGGTGGTGAAGGTGTAGGGGTTCTACTGTATTACTTTGTGTACTTTATGCTATTATTTGTCAACACTTCATAATTTTAATCAGGCCATTACAATCTGACAAGGAGAAAAATGTTTTGTTTCATTTCATGTTGTTCATACCTGTATTTTTCAATGTTTTTTATGCTACTGTAGTTTATTTTTTATTTCTTATAAGGCCATTAATTAACCGTTTATAATGTTAAAGCAATGGTGGCACGACCACCTCCCAGGGATTGACATGTGGATCCTACCCTTGTATGGTTAGCTGACTGACAATAGATTCATTTTCTTTTTTTTATAATGTTTCTACTTTCTTATAGTGTACTGGTGCAATATTAGAGAAATTCAAAGAGAAAAAAGTGACAGTAGTATCGGTATTGAGAGATGCTATAGATGCCATCTTCTTAACAGTGAGTAGTTATCGATAGATTTTGTGTGTAGAGCCATGTGAAGTAGTCGATTGCTCTGGAATTTTTAAATCATGGTATCGCGGGTTTATTTCAAAGTCGCATTGTAATAAAAACCATACTTGTTGTGTAGTGCTCAAGAACTTTACGTTTACACAGAAGTATAATGATTACCTGATTAAATAATTGCTATTCCTTTGTTTAATATTTTGAAATAGGCTATATTTAGATATTAAGATTATTCTTATTTCAACTAAATTGTTTTTTTTATTTAGACCACGTTGCAGAATATAAGTGAAGATGTTCTAGTTGCCTTGGATAATAAGAACCCATCAATACGAGCTGAAACTGCTGCCTTCCTAGCCCGTGCCATGAGGCACTGCACCCTAACGACCTTACCTAAGAGTTTACTCAAGCCTCTTTCAGCTGCTCTTGTCAAGGTACGTTTTTATTCTCAGAGATAATTGATTATGAAATCTCTTTTTTCACAAGTATTTTCTTGTTTTTTCAAAGATTAAAAAACAAACATTCGAGATTGTTAAGAAACCTGATTGGTCTGGTTGAATAACTTTGAGCCTGCCAACTGTGGCAGCCGCAAGGGAATTCAGTTGTACAGTACATGAGGGGGTCTACTAAATTTTTTGTAGGACCAACAGCTTTAACATCTTTTCTAAAATGCCCATGCTCTCAATATTTTACAGTGAGAATTGTTAGTTGAATAGTATACAAATATTGACTGCTCATGAGAGGATTGGTGAAATCTATGGCCCCTCGGTGATGTGGTGATGATCGTAGTTACTGTCTCCACATCACCGAGGGGCAATATATTTCATCGTTCCCCGAATCTAGAGCAGTCAATACAGTATTTGTTTTATATACCTCATACATAGATTCTATGAGGCCTAAAAAGTACTTACTTCCTAGCCTAGCCTAGAGACGATCTAACTAGGTCCTAGGCGATCAAAGATTGTGTCTAAAACTTCTTTGCTCATTTCTTCAATTTCAATATTTGTCAAATATTGACAAGACATATTTAATTTGTCTTTTGGTGCTTTTGCTATCGGCTTCGTCAAGAAGTATTATTGGGCTAGACTAGTCCTTCATCCAGGAGCTTGAACCGACAGCCTCAAAAAGGGCAGTCAAAGGCTAATCTCTTTCGTCGTAGAGGTCGCAGTCCCCTCTATCATCAGGGCGATCGTGGGGCCTACAGTTTGCACCTTCGCAACAGGGCAAAAAAGTACTATTTCTCAGAGAAATAATACTTTTTCAAGGGAATCATACTTTCTGTTGCCCGCTTCTTAACCAATCAGATGCCTAGAATCTGTATGAGGTATATAAAACCAGATATATATGGTTCATAGAACAGAATATTAAATATCCATGTAGAATTTGTGTACCTTGTTTTAAATCCTAACATAAAACCCCTTATATACTTCATATTATCATTTTTATCTTTTTTCGATAAAGAAAATTGGCGACACCTCCCCAGAGGTGCGTGAAGCTGTCGCAGAATCACTTGGAACCGCCATGAAAGTGGTTGGAGAAAAACATTTATTGCCATTCATTGCTGACCTGGATAAGATTAAACAGGATAAGGTAACCTCAGTGATCATTCTTTTAAGATATATATTTTTCCAACTGGTGTAGAATGATAAATGTGTGTTTGGAATTTTTTTACTTAATCCATAAGAAAGAGATTTGGGAGAAATTTATTATTAGAAAGTTTATATGCCTCACCACAAGGTGACATCTGCTTCATCTTAATTTTCTGTTTTGTTATTCAATGTAGATTAGAGAATGGTGTGAGAAAACTGAGCTAGCCACAGGAGGAGGGAAAAAGAAGAAAGAGAAGTCATCCGAGACAAAAGCAGCACCCACTAAGGCAGCACCTGGCCCCTCTAAGGCGGCTGCTAAACCTGCTTCTGCTGCTAAGGTAAATAATCATTTACTACCATAACAACAAAGTCTTTTATCGTATTTCATGTTTACTAATTGTAGTAAATATAAGTCCTTGCCGAGCCAAGGAGCTCATAGAGGGCGCTAGAGCTTATCCCCAGTTTCAAGTAGTGTGGAGTGAATGATTGTGTGATACTCATCCTGATTGGGACGCTGGTTATTCCCAGCAACTTGCTAGTACTCATTCATTGATACAGCTGAACACAAGCGAAATGCACAGCGAAGGGTTGAAACCCTGACCGTGACTTTGGGAAGCCAAACCATTTCCACTGAGTTCATTATCCTAGAAAAAATGTCTTCAGAAAACTGCTCCCGTAAATTTACATTATGAAACCTCTATGATGAACTTGACTGTTCTGACATTTTTTATTTGTTTTTCTTTTTTTCAGAGCAAAGCAAGACCTGCATCAGCCTCTGGTGCTGGTAAAGCCAGCAAAGGCAAGAAGAAACCAAAACAAAGTGAAGAAACTGAAAAGAAATCAGAACCAGCCTATTCGGTAAGTTCGATATTACTCGAATCAGTATCTTTCTTCTTCTAAGCAAATTAGCTAATAAAGTTATTTTACTCTCAAAGCAATGTGTTTGTGCTTTTTGTGCATGTGCTCCCATCATGGAAGTAGTTATGTGTTTCAAAATGTCTGTATTCATATTTAATTATAACTTTTGTATAAATGACAATTATAATCATTCACAACACATACAGGTATGTTGGATGAAATACAGATTCCAAAAAATTAATAAACTCTAATGACATATTTCATTAATGTTATTAGTATAATATATTATGTTGATTGAAATTGTCTTTACTAGCCTGAGGATGTAGATGAGAAGGCTGCAGTTGCATTGCCAGCAACCCTGCTTCAGCAGCTGGGACATGCTAATTGGAAAGAACGACTAGCAGGAATGGAAGAACTAACAACGGTAACTACACCTTACGGCTACCCTGAGAGTTTGAGGTGGTGGTAGTAATCATGTTTGATTATTAACTTGCTGGTGTTGCAGTTCTAGGATCATGGATTTCAGAGTTCATGACTAAAATTGCCCTTAGCCTCATAACAAGATTTCAGCCTGGCATTCACTGTGTCTTACGACAGATCCAACTCCGCTGCCTGTGAACGCCAGACACTCCGTTGCACGTGAGTCGTCGCGTTGCGTTCTACGTGGAATTGCATCTGACGCACCGAGTGCCCGGCTTTTGTCCTTAGAGCACCGCGTTGCTCCGTAATGTAATTGAAAAGGGAGTGAGTACGATTCCTAATGGATCGTTAAGAAATAAAATTCCAGTCAAATATAGTTGTGAAGCTTTTAATAGTGATGAAGAGGATTTAGGTGAAATATTAGAAAAACCTATTTTTGCTAATTGTAATCTAAATTATATTGCATTGAGAAGCTTCCAAAATGATTGACTTAACTGCTATGCATTTTATTTTAGAAAATTCACAACATGGAAAAGAAGGATATTGATTGTCAGTTATACGTGAGACTCATGGCCAAGAAACCAGGATATAAAGATGCCAACTTTCAGGTAATATATCTAATTCCCAGTGTATAAACCTATATGTTAAGCCTAACGAACAATGCAATTCATAGCTATAGCCAGTGGGGCAAAAGCCTTCAAAACTGAAGTTTGCTCCCACATGGATGGGGTCTGCTGTTTACAGCATTAACCATCTTCTTAGGCAGTTGGGCTTAGCCATAGTAGGGACATTTTGCAACCTTACAAAAAAAATAATGAATATATCAACTTCATTATCATCATTTGTCCCTAAAACATTCTTGACATCACATATAAGAGCCGAATTTGATTGTTGATTCATGTCAGAGGCATGGATAGATGGTCTTTGTTGTGTCATATTCTACTAGTACTCTGAGCAATGGATTCACTAAACAATTGAAGACGAAACTATATTCATTATCATTTCTGTAAGCTTGTGAAACCTCCCTGTTCTTTAAATTGATGCAGAATTTAGCAAAATGGAACCTTCTAATTTTTCAATGATTGATATACAAGCATATTTTGTTAAGTTTTCGGTAAATAAGAATCAGTAAATATAATGTAAATATTTTTTAAACAGGTGTTAATCAGCCTAATTATGGGAAAATATTTACATATATTCATATTTTAATTTATATTAATATCTATGTCTCTCCACAACAGGTTCTGAAAGCCAAATTTGCTTTGATTGGTATTCTAGCCGAGAAAGGAAAGTTCAGTCGTACATCTGGCAGTGTGTGTATCGGGGGAATTGTAGAGAAAATTGGCGACATAAAACAGTCAGCGACAGCTAAAGAAACAATGACGTCCATATCTGAAGCTTGTAGCCTCCAGTTCGTTGCACTTGAGGTAATATGTGTGTCACTTTTGTGTACTTTAATGCAATAATGCTGTAATGTACTCATCAATTCGTCGCTCACATCACGAACTAACACAATCAAAGTAGATTGTGTTAGTTCGTGAAATCACAGTAGCGCGTCAAAACGAGCGCGTATTGGTTGTCAAGCAATTTTGTATTCTTTACCACACAAAAAGTCCTTAACAACAACAGCGCGTATTTTGACGCATTTCTTGATTTCACGAACTAACACAATCTACTTTGATTGTGTTTATTTTGTGATGTGAGCGACGAATTGACCGTCTACATTGAAATTTTAGAAGCAATTAAAAATAACAGTAACATATACAATATAAAATAAAATAAATTTAGTTCATAACAAAAAAATACACATTTGCTGCTGTTTTCTTACTAATAGCAATAAACTTGCTTTCTCCTCAGTCCAACAAAAGGGAAGTAGTACCGAAGTTTACAGTCTGCTCTTGAAACACACTGCAATGAGAATGCTACATAATAATATGTTGAGATTATTTTTTCTCATTTGTTTTTTCATCTTATCTTAATCATTTCAACTGTACACTTGGTGATAGACATAAATTTCAATTCCTGATACCTATTTCTCTGTTACATTAAGAGTTTTTAAAGTACTTTCTCATTGTTATCTAGGCTGTCTCATACGCATTTGATACTCAAAAAAATCCAAAGAACCAATCAGAAACGCTCAACTGGTTTGCACAAGCAATACAAGAATTTGGCTTTGCATCGTAAGTTTCAATTTTACATACCTTGTGATTATTTTTTTGAAACAATTATATGTTTTTTTTTTGTTTTTTTTTTTCAATTTTAAGTCAATACACTTACTTTATGACTATACAATTATCACAAATATTATAATCCGTTTTTCTATTATGTGCATCTTTTGCTCTGTTATTCATTGTATTCTAATTGTTTTTGTTTACTAGTGATATTATATTGCTTATTCATCAATAAATTTAATTCTCATTAGTTTGAAAGTGAAATGCTATATATCATATATCAAGAAAGCTTTGGGTGCAACGAATCCTGCGATCAGAACTGCTGCCATTACCACTGTAGGTACCATGTACATGTATATGGGGGCGCCCCTTAGAATGCTGTTTGAGGATGAGAAACCAGCACTACTAGCACAAATAGATGCCGAGTTCCAAAAGGTGATATTTCTATTATTATTATTATTATTATTATTTTGTAATTTTGTATTATAATTTTTTCCATTGTTGAAATCTAACTACATTTCTTATTTAGTGGAATACAGTTGAACTTGCCTAAGTGGAATCCAAAATGCCATTGAAAAATTGTTCGACTTAGATAAAATTTGACTTATAGAATTGTTAAGGAAAACATAATTTGGCATGTAAAATAAGTTTGACTTAGAAATTATTCGAGTTAACTCTATAGATCATTGCGGTTACTGATCTGTTATGCAGAGTTACTATCTACTTTTACACGTCCACTTAACACCTATATCAACGGATAAACGCGATTATCACAGTGGTCTCCTGCCGTGTAAACAAGGCTATAATCTAATAACAAACATAAAAATAGATTGCATATATTGGCAGGTATGTCAAAAATAGACCCTGTCTTCTAACTGGAGTTTTTAATGATTCATACATAGTTTAGTTAGAATGGTGGGCAGATAAATAATTGAGGGCCTAATTTCATGAGGATGAATTCATTAGGAAATATCATCAGGTATACACCAAAATATGTTTTATTCATTGGAATAGAATTTTTTCTTTCGACGATGCAGGAATGTTCTTTAGGAATAGTGAATAGGAGTGATTAGTGTTTGTGTGCGCACAAATTCTTTTGCATTGTTCGTATAATGCACAAATTTTATTTGCACTGGGTTTAATGTGGTAAAGGTTTGATGTGAATATTAAGGAATATATAATTACCAACCTTTATGAATAATTCATATTGACCCTTACTTTATTTAAATATCAGGTATCTGGTACAAGCCCACCAGCCCCTTTCCGTGGTATCAAGAAAGAAGAGAAGCGTGATGATGCAGATGGGGATGATGTTGAAGATGATGTTGATGAGGAAGAAAGTGAAGTTGGAGGCAGTCCCTCAAGTATACAAGACCTTGTTCCTCGGGTTGACATCTCTGATCAGATTACATCAAGCCTGATAGAAGAACTAGGAGATTCAAAATGGAAGGTTCGAGGTCAAGGGTTAGATAGAGTAAGATATTTTCACATTGTCATTTTACTTTTTATATTAATATCACTGATTGTGTAGTTTTTTTTTTTGTTTTTTTAAAAATATTTTCAGTATTATTACAACTATTGTCATTTCCAGTATTCAGGTGGCAGCAATGTTATGTAAACAATTATTTAATAATCACTAATGTATTTAATATTTCCACAGGTTCAGACAATATTGAATAGTAATAAGTTCATTACACCAAACCTTGGAGAACTACCCACAGCTTTAAAACCACGACTCAGCGACACCAACAAAATTCTTGTAAGATGAAAACAAAACTAAAGTATAAGATAATTACTAATAAATATAGTATAGCATTTGTATGTTTCAATGAATTGTCCTTTGGTATTTTACATTAATAAAAGGGTATGAAATTGTATTTTACTGTACATATAATTATGTATTCACTTTTTCATAATAATATATTAAGCTATGTATAATAAGGTCTTGCCCAGTGAGATTTAAATAACCAATCTGTGTTTACAAGCAGTAATGCTGATTACATATAGGACCACCACCACTTTAACCCCAACAATCCACAAAGTTATATATCTATTTATCTGTTGTTTTATCTTTTGATGATGATTTTTTCCAATCTCTTTTCGCACAGGCTACAAACACTGCCAATATATGTACGCAACTGGCGCAAGCTATTGGTCCTGCCATTAAGGTACATGTTAGGACGCTAGTTCCTGGTCTACTTATGCTTAACTGTGACAGCAAGGTAAGTTATCGTAAAACATAAAATAATCTTTAATGACGGTATGTGTACCGACTATTAAGATACTAATTACAGCTGGTTTTCTTACCGTGTACACATCTATTTAATTGTGGTTTTTTATTTTCCCTCAGCCCACCGTTAGGGCAGCGAGTGTTAGCGCCCTCTCTGCCTGGGAGGAGCAAGTTGGCTTAGCCCCTTTTATTGAAGATGAGCTTCTAAATACAGTCTTGGCCAAGGAGAGTCCATTTCTCCGAATGGAGGTATGTAAATGATTGTTATTTTAAAATCTTTTGAAACAATATTCATAATCATATGGTCGCTTATTGTAGACTCAGTGTTTTGATCCTGAATATTGTTCCCCATTCTATTAGTGACAACCCCTATCTCTTGATTCTGATCACTTTGTAATGAGTTCTTTATGTTTGCAATGCATTTTATATAACATTAACACTATATTTATAGAGGGTGACCCTTCCAGCTTTATGAAACTAAAATGTTACGGTTATAAAATTAATGAGTTTTCTTTAAACTAGTTGCTGTGTTTAATTTGAAGAACCCTTTATTAAAGCATTGGCCCTTTCATTTATTGAGTGCATATTTTCATGTTTAGGTATTTGGTTGGTTAGAAGAGAAACTTGCCAAGTACCACACATTACCATCAGATCTTGCTCTGACCGTGCCCATCTTGTACACTGCATTGGAAGATCGTAATCCTGAAGTACGCAAGAAAGCTCAGGGCGTTCTGCCGTTGTTCATGATGCATCTGTCGTACGAGAAGTGTGTCAAGATGACAAATAAATTAAAGGTATATTATAGCGTTTAAACAAGGTTTAAGTTATGCTGAATTATTCATGTCTTTAGCCAGATAGATACATACATTTGTACAGACTAGAATAGGCCTAATAATGTTTTTTATACTCTGATTTACAACAAGAATTGAATTTCAGTTGTAAAATTATAATATTATAATGTTCATATAAACTGTTGTATGTATTTATAAGTATTGAAAGGTAACATGTTTAAATTTATAATTTAAAAAAATTTTAGCCATCCTCAAAAACCCAAGTAATGCAAATCTTAGAAAAACAGCGTCCAAACATCCCTGCAAAACCAGGCAAACCAGAAAAAACCAAGAAAGCAAAGACCGCAGCACCTCCACCACAAGAGGAAAAGAAAAGACCAAAAACAGCACCGCCTAAGGTAAGATTAAGTCCAGTGGAGTACATAAACTCAAACATACATATCTTTCATTAATCACATTGTTTTAAAACATAACATGTGTTAAAATATTGGTTAGCAGGTTTAAATTTCAATTCTGTAAGGCAGCCAATCATAAGAAGTAATGCACAGGATGTTCTCAAGTGGCATATATATTTGAATGTGACCCCTACCAAAATATTGGCATGAATGTGTGCACTCTTAATTTGAAACTTTGTATCATTACATTGATTCTCTTCTTGTCCTTCACATGATGCTATTTTCCACTTGGTTCTCCACATGGTGCTATTTCCCACATGTGTGTTTGCTGTGTCATTGATGTGTGTCCCTCTTTCTTCCTGTCTACCTGTCTACTAGACTGAATCCTCTTCTTCTACCGATACATCACCAACTGAGACAGCGACGACAACAACTACAAGGAAGAAACCTGTTGGAAAGTCTAAGGTAAGGAAAACCAATAGTCATCATCCGGGTGATGCACACTGACTAAACTCTAATACAGGTCACCCCCAATCAAGACTACTTTTGGGACCAGGATTCCCATGGTCTTTTGCAGTTTTGGTCTGTAATTAGAATAATAAAAGTAAAAGACATTTGTTAATTTGGGACCACAGAAAAGTGGTCTTTAATTGGAGGGGTCTTTAGTTAAAGGGAGCCCTGTATTTGAATTACTTTGTAAGTTTACAATAAGAGAAAAAAACGTTTTTAAATGTTCAGGAACCTAGTTCTATCTAGTTTTGTTAAAGTCAGGCTCCGGAGGAAAACAATTTTTTGATATGTTGTAGAACTGATTTTTCTAAGACAGAAAAAAGTAGATTGACGAAAAACTGGGGAACGGTGAATGAGATACAGATATATTTAAAAACTGGGGGAAAAAGAGGCGTAACTGCCCATTTTTACACCTTATTCCCCCAGTTTTTAAATATTAAAAAATCTGTATCTCATTCACCGTTCTCCAGTTTTTCGTCAAACAACTTTTTTCTGTCTTAGAAAAATCAGTTCTACAACATATCAAAAAATTTTTTCCCTCCGGAGCCTGACTTTAAAACAGAGTTCTTGAAATGGTTCTTTTAATAAATGTGCGGCCGTTTAATGGCATAACAACGTAAGCTTTTATATTTTTATTTTTTTTTTTTTTTTTTTATTTATATGTTTTTGTGCCTCAGGCATTAATTTTTTAAAATTCCTATTTATCATAAGTCTTGATATCGTTTCCTATTCCTTTGTTTTTTTTTCCCCTTTTTTGTTTACATTTCTATCTTCCACTATCTTTTTTCATTAATTTTCTTATTTCTTAAGCTCTATCTGCACTATCAAATTTTATGTGATAAATTTGTGTGATGTGCCCATATATGGCCTTGATGATGTCATATCACACCCAAATATGGGCATATCACATAATATTTGTCATGAAATTTGATAGTGTGCACGGACCTTTACTTTCTTTTACCGCTTTTCAATTTTCTTTTCTGTTATCTTACCTTTTCTTTTTCAACTATTATTGTCAGTCAAGAAAATCTGCACCCAAAGAATCTTCAATGAAAGTGAGGTCGAAGGTAATATATCAAAGGTCAAATGTTGAAAATTTAACCCATATGTAAATTAGCTGACCTTGTACACTTCAGTGAGTTGTTACTTGCTGTCTTACAATATTGTAAAAGTATGTTTCGATTTGTAATTGTAGCTTCTGTGTTGTTTATGATATACTTTTATTATTGTTATTATTATTATTATCATCATTATTATTATTATTATTATTATTAGTTTGTTATAAATATGACTAATATAGCACGCTAGTTTTTGTAAAATTGTGTAAAAGTTTGACAAAATTATTATTGTTTTCTAAATTAAATGTGTTTTTTAATGGTTTTTTAGTTATGTCATTGTGGTGTTCAGTAGTTGACTGTCACTGACATTATATAGCTTTCAGCTTAAAAAAAAGACTAATTATATATGGTGAATTAGTGAATACTCCTTAATACCAATGTTATAATACACAAGGAACATATTTTTATTTTTTTAAAGTACACATATTGTAGGTGCATATACAGTATTACTAAGTATGCCTTTCAGTGGCTATCTTCTTAGGCTAATTGTGGTGTATAGAATAAGAAAGTATAATATATTTCAAGGAATGAAATACACGCCATTGTGTCGGGATTCAATATTTCAAAATGAATTATGTCATCATCAGGATTCCTGGAACTTTCGGTTATTGTATGTAATGGTAAGCAAAAATCTGGCCAGGATTAAATTCACCAGCTTACAGTGTTAATGGGCTGCATAGGCTTAGCCAGCGAGCCGTCTTTTGGACGGCCTACAATTATTTAGGACAGCCACTCTTACCGTGACTGCTTGGACGGCTTGGCCTAAACTGCTCGGCCTAGCCTAATTGGGCCTGGTCTACCTTTAGCAATTTCTTTACGTCTTTTGGACGGCCTACAATTATTTAGGACGGCCACTTTTACCGTGACTGCCTGGACGGCTTGGCCTAATCAGCTCGGCCTAGCCTAATTGGGCCTGGTCTGCCTTTAGCAATTTCTTTACATTCTTCAAATCTATCAAATGTTACATTAACTAAAGCTAATTCATATTTAGGTTTGATAAAAACAACCTTTATTGATTGAATGTACGTTGTTTTCGTTCCAATACTCAGTAAGGAAATCCCAAAAATGTAAGACTTTTTCTACCTGGTGAAAAGCTCACTTACAACACACTTCGTGTTAAAAACGTTAATACCCCGCTGGAAAATCGACAGTTCTGAGTAGCCCACAATGCATGTACGTGGCTCATTGCAAATACAGTACTTGAGATTTGGTTCCCCGACATAATATTCTTGGTGTTCGTAACTCTCTGGTTATAATAATTAATCCATGAAATACCGTAAAGAAAATTTGTTGTTAACGTCACAAGTTAAATTTTAATAGTACAAAAAAAACAAAAAACAATACAGTAGGTCTATCTCTCGAATTAGAGGACCTAGAGTAGAATTTACACTAAACTAAGGCGAGAGATGAAGATGTATCTGCATAGCCTAGAAACATTATGTGAGTAACTTTAGCCGTTGGCAATCTATGACTGACTGAAATATCTTTGTGATATTCAACACTATTCCAGTGAAGACAAAATTTCAACATTTAAACACCTTTAAATGCCCTCTAAAGATCATAATTTTCTTTTTTTTTTCTTATGTTTGGGAAAGGGCATGGCCCCAAGGGGACATGGTCCGCCCATCAGCTGACTGCCACGCCCACTGGCGTCCATTTTGGATGGTCTATTTCGTTTTTCTGGCTAAACCCTTGAATGGCTGTGAAGTTATTGACAATGTTTCAGCCTTATGTGTATGCAGACTAGAAACCTTGATAGAACTTGATACCTAATTAAGCTCATGACAAGTTGACTACAAACATGTTGCATTCATGTATTGCCTATATGATAATAATTTGTATTTGTCCTTACTTGTTACTCCGAAATGTCATATTGTTATATTTGTATATATTTATTGTAAATACTTACTCATTGGTACTAGGCTGAGCCAAGCAGCCAACCAGAGCCTATTGCAACTGCCTCGCCCACTGCTTCAGTTACCACCAAGAAATCCAAATTGGTAAAGGGAAAGGTAGGCTGGGAGAACATGTCGTACATCCCGATAATTACACTAGCAATTGTTACTATTGTGAAACACAGCATTAAATAATAACATGATATAATATCAATTAGCAAATACACTCCATCCTAATATATATATGCACTGCAATGATAATTTCAATCATTATTAATTTACTGCATAATATTAATATACATCATTATTTTAATTTCTTAGAATAAACTAATAAACCATTTTTTTTTTTTTACTTTTTAACTTACTAGATCTTTATTCCATTTTTATAATGCATTGTATACTGTGTCTAGTACTAGAGTCTATTTACTAACCAACTGCAGTACTGCATTCTGTATTGATATTTATTTAGCTTTCTTGACTTGGTTATTATAACTAGATGTTACTTGAACTAAATTATCTTACAGTTTTGTATTTAAGTAGGTAACATGTCAGTTGTTGACTGTTAAGTTTTGTCCTCACTATGATACAAATTTTTGTGATGTTCCCATATATCGACATGATGATGTCATATTATACCCAAATATGGGCATATCACATTTTTTGTCACAAAATTTGATAGTGTGGACATAGCTCAGTTACATAATTTAATAATAAAATATTGTTTGGTTAAAATTGGAAATGTAGTGACTTTCTTCACCCACCTGTGGTTCATAATAGTAGTGTAGTGTTTGGCCAAGGACTTATAAATGTTAATGTTATAACAGTTATAAGTCCTTGGTTTAGCCTAGTGGCATTATTGATATTTTTATTTTATTATCTTTGATATATTGTTGCCTTTGTTGCTATTGATAATATTATTGTTTTTATTATTATTATATTATTGTTTTTATTATTGTTATTATAATTACCTGTATATTTGAAACACTTAATATAAATAATTTCTGCCTTCAAAGCTGTGCTATCTGCAATTTAACCAATCGATGTAGGTGACCTTTATATGTGCCCTAATGTTGAGCTACCTTGGATACCATTTTTGGATCCTAAGGTGGTTTTTAGAACACATTTTGTAAACTTACTGCCGACAAAAAAAGAGGTCAAACATTGTACATGATAAACCCACTATTCAACTGCACCATTATTTAACAGGTCCTTTTTTTTAATGTGACTGGGAGCAGAAGTTTATCAGACATGAATGAAAGAAGCTGCCTCGAGAAATTAGCTTGGCAAACTCTCTTCACCCATTAAACAAGGTCTATTTATTAAATTGCTGTAAATCCGATAAAGAGGGGGATTTTTTGTTTCGTATGCATTGTATCATTTAGTAGTAATGCACTATTTCTCTTTATATTGCTACTGTATTTTAGCAAGTTGATATCCTAATACAAGTATAATGATATATTACTAACATTTATCACGTTAAAGTTTGATAGATTTCATCTGCTTGTGATTTCAATGTATTACAGTACAAATTAATATGAAACTAGTAGGCCTTTATAATGACTGATGATGTTATGATATAACTTGGAATGTTCAAGCAGAAACTAAAGCATTTTCATGTAGGCTGCTATTATTTAAATCATTTAAAAACATTAAATGTCAGTATATGTTGTAATTAATAAACTGAAATTTAAAGTAAGATTTAAAATGCTGTTGATAGCTGTGTGCTTACAAATGGTAAATGCTCTTTTTTGAAAGACATTATGGTGTATGTATGAAATGTCATAAAGTTAACAAAAGGTAGAACTGAATTTGAGCATTAAGTTACAACACACCAAATAATTAATGACATCAAACACAAATTTTGTTTATCATTGTTATAATAAGGTTCACTAGTTTGTAGTGAAGCTATAATACCATGGTTTGTTTTTTTAATCACTTTCAGGTCAGGGTTCAGTCCTGCTAAAAATGTCTGGATTTCTTCTCCCAATCAAACGTATGTAAGGTTGACTAGGTAACGTTAAGGCACCTAATAAATACTGTACTGGTTCATTCTTCTTGTAGACAAGCAAGTCTAGCAAGTCAAAGCAGGAGGATGAGGATGTTGGACCACCTGTGATACTCAACAACTTGAAAGATAGAAGGTTTAGGGATGAAGATAACTTAAAGGTACAGTTAAACTTAAAAAATATTTGTATGGGCCTTCAGTTGATTTGATTTGCTCTTTTTGTTATTTTATTCTATTCTATGATGGTACTCGTCATCACCTGTTCAGCATCTGGGACGAGTGTATGCTTCGGTCGATGGTGCATCACCAAGTTCTCATTCTAGTGTTTTCTATTTTTATTTTTTGTAACTTCTGTATTATTAATTCATAATGTAATGTCACATGTATCTTAAAATCAGAGTATTGGGGATTTAAACCAAATAAGTATCTACAATTCAGCTTAAAAAATTATACAAAAAAAGTTGTTAAGATGCTGCTTCTTCATACCAAGATTATTATCATGTAGTATAATTGTTATATCATATTGTCAACAATAGTGAGTATTCAAGAATAACTTATTTTCTGTCCCAATATATGTGGTTGCTAAATTTGTTTATGGTTTTACAGGTTTTAAAATGGAATTTCAGCGTGCCTCGTGATGAGATCATAGACCAGCTGAAGGAGCAGATACAGCCCTGTGTCAGTCCATCCCTCTTCACTGCCCTCTTCCATGCCGACTTCAAGTACCATATCACAGCTCTTACAACACTCAAAGAGGTACAGTACTGCTGTAAACCGTAGCATCACACACTAAGCATCTAATGGATATTTCCACTATGCCACGCCCCTTAGATATTGTTGCCAAGGTCCAACAAAACAATAACGTAAATGTATGTAAACAGTTGCTGGACACGCCTGTATGCCTGGCACTGTTTTGATTGCTCAGTTAAGTTTGATGTACACTCTGGGAGAGGTCATTTGTTCCGAGATGTTATTCCCTGTACAGCTACTTGTTCTCAATGTTAATATATATTTATTTTTTCCCCAATTTACTCTACATGGTCAACACAATAAAGAAATGTGGTCGAACAGAGGTTCTTGTGACCACAAAAGGTGATATGACATTGATTTTTAAGGATAGGGCAATTGAGATAATACGAGTTAAATAAAGATAATAATGTATAATATTAATTCACATATATTTTCTGCCTCTCAACTTAAACGTTAAAAAAATGAAGAGTTACTTTTTTTGTGGAATAAAATAAATTTGTCCCAACCTAATGCTGATTGGTAAGCGGATAAACCCATTTGATAAATCTTCATTAACTATAAATTTAATGTTTCACCCTAGGCTGTGACGTCCCACAAAGAAGCCTGCATTGGGGCACTAGATGTACTCCTGAAGTGGGTAACACTGCGTTTCTTTGACACTAATACCAGCGTCAACATCAAGGCCTTGGAATTCCTACAAGTGTTATTTAATATGCTTGCTGAGGAAGACTACAGTATGCATGACTACGAGGCCTCTGCCTTTTTACCATACCTTGTATTGAAGGTGAGTTGTTATTTTCTGTACCAGACCAAGACATTAAAATATTTAAAACAAATAATATACACACAGTGGAGTTGAATCGCTCAGTGGTTAAGGTGGTTGGCTTCTAATCCGAGAGTCCTGGGTTCAATTCCTGTCAGTGTTGCAGGAATTTTTTTTCTCATGACTAAAACAACTGCACTTCCTAAACCTCATCTTGAGATTTGTGTAAAACATTTTGTGTGTATTGTCTTCTAAAAATGGATTGTCACCTACAAGTAGGGCAGTGATATTCGCTATTGACAATCCTTGGTGCATGTGTGTACATAAATAAATAAAACAAATAATATTTAAATATGAAAACCTAAAATGTGACAGTCAACCTTTATAAAGGCCTGTCCAGACTATCAAATTTTATATGACAAAAACATGCGACATGCCTGCATGTGGTCATGATGACATCACATCGTGACCATATATAGGCACATCATGACTAAATATGGGCAAACAAAGTCTATATTTTTTCAAGGAAAATTTGATAACCTGTACAGATCTTTAGAAGCTGTAACTATGATTGTATACCTTGTGTATTAATTGATTGGTTTTTGAATCGAGAAATAAAAGAATATTTATTGTCGAAAAATATCGGATGTACTGTAATTGTCCATTTCCTTTCGTTCTTGTCAAGCGGCTCATGGTTGGCTAAACGGGACGTGCCATACAAATTGCAAATTATTATTATTATATGGACCCAGGTGGTTATTCATTCGGTTAAAGAAATACAAACACAATAAAAGTTAAATAATAATCTATAGTGCTGAAGTTATGCATTTAACATAGAAAATATATGTAACATAGGAAAAAATATGTATATGATTTATATTGAAACAGCATTAAAATGTATATAATTGTTTTGTTACTCTCTAGATTGGGGAGAATAAGGAGAATATTCGCAAGATGGTCAGAAGCTGTATCAAAACAATAACCAAGATTTACCCCGCAAGCAAAGTCTTCCAGTTCATCATAGATGGCCTGAAGTCCAAGAATGCAAGACAACGGACAGAGTGTCTTGAGGAACTAGGAAATTTGATCGACCTGTATGGAATTAATGTTTGCCAGCCAAGTCCGCCGAAGGCACTCAAGGACATTGCGGTACAGATCAGTGATAGAGACAACAGTGTACGCTCAGCAGCGCTTAACACGCTGGTTCAGGCGTATGCTATTGTTGGTGAAGGCATATACAAAATGGTTGGCAGAGTATGTACATATATTGTGCTTAATGATAAGTTCAATTTTTTCATTCAAATACATATAAGACAATGCTTTATTAATAATATTGTACAACAATATTAGAAGTTAAACAACCTAAATGTATACCCAAATTTAAAATGCAATTAGAAAAAGCTGCACCAGAGTCCAATATACAGTACAATAGAGATAATTTTGAATCCAAACTTGGATGGTTGCAAAATGGAAAATATAAGGTATGAGATGCAACGTTAATGGCCAGTTTCCACTGGGCCAGACAGATGTGCCTAGTAGCAGGTAAACAAAAACAAAAACGTACTGTATTTCTTATGGTGATCTTTATGCAGAAGAATCAAATAATAGTGAATTATTATTATTAGTTTATCACTTTTATAGCTCAGTGGTTAAGATGCTTACCTTCTAATCCCAGGGTTCTGGGTTCCTTCCTGGAACAGGATCATGATTAAAAACAACATCACTCCCAAGGCCTCAATGGGAGACTTGGTTTATAAAATCATCGTTGCCATCCTGTAAGTGGGAGTGTAATTGCAGTTTGAAGTGAAGGAAATAAATTTAACTGTGCTGTCAAAGTAATACAGTAAACCAAGCTGTAGGCAGTTTGTGATTGGTTTGTACACTTACTTTCTCTCATTTTGAGAGGCAACTATAATGGCCCTATCCAAAAGCAATCATTATTACATTATTGTATGATTTTATTTTGCTTGCAGTTAAATGAAAAAGACGTAAGCTTATTGGAAGAAAGGATCAAACGATCGAGCAAGAAAGTGAAGTCTGCACCACCCATGCAAGAACCAAAGCAAACGAAACAAGATGCTAAGAAATCGATGCTCCCGTATGTACATTATGTCAGCCATTTTTATTTTTTTATTTTTTTTTTGTTCACAGGCGTAGGTTGGTGGGGCACCCACCGCATAAAAATCCCATCTCTTTCCCCAACCCAAAATACTGTAGCAGCAGAATAGAATGGATTATTTTGGTGCACCAGACACCCTGATTCTGTCTCATTATTATCCATCTGTATTCAATTATAGTATGCATTTACTTTTTATAATTTAATCTTTCCCACAACATAGTTGTCTATTTTTCTGCACCCTAATGTTCCCTTCCCTCTATCATAAGTACGTCTTTACTAATATATTGCTTGTAAAAAAAAAAAAAAAAAAAAAAAAAAAACCTGGACCCTCAACTATAGAGAAAAGTCAAAATTCTGTACACTGTAAAATTTCTGTGACAAATATCTGGTATGCCCATATTTGGGCATAATGATGTCTTATATGGGTAAATCCCAAGAATTTGTCACATGCAACTTAAAGGCCTTGTCCAGACTATCAAATTTTATTGGATAAAAATCTGGTATATGTCCATACATATTCATAATGTGCCTACATATGGTATATCGCATGTGATGTCACCTTGACCATATTTAGGCATATTTACATGTTTTTGTCAAATAAAACTTGATAGTCTTAATATGACTTCAGATTGTTTGCTATTCTTCAAATATGTAAAGCTTGTAGCCTACTTATATTTCAGATATTTTGATTTAGTTTTCTCAAATTATTTTATGTATAACATTGTTTGATGCCATGCAAAATATCCATCACCCTCGTTCTAACCATTTTGATTTTGTAGCCATGGAAGGAGGCGGAGTAGTAGTAGGTGTGTGACCCTTTATCATGGTTCATGATTTGCTGCATCATCTCTCAGTTATCCCAGCAAAATGATATACCATTGACATATCTACCTAATCAGTGCAATGATAATCTTTTGATTAAATAATTATAGAATGGTTTTATTTCTATAATCGCATTCAAGAAGTATTGCCTCAAAAATTGATTAACTTTGACAAGGTCAAGTTATCAGTGGTGTATCTAGTACATTGATGTGGGGGGGGGGAGTGTGATGGGAAATTGAGTAGTGCTATCTGGGGAATGATATGAGGAGATTTTTAACTACACACAATTTTTGCTTGTTTAAATTTCCATTGGCACTACAATTTTGTTTAGATACACCACTGCAATTTATTAATATCAGAATTATGCATTGTCCAGGCATGAGAAATTAGCCAGCCCAATGCCTCGCCCACAATATTCCTTATTTTCTTTTGGTTAGTACTTTACCAAGGAAATGTACAAAGATTGTATCATTTGAGTATTTCTTGAAATTATAAGAAATTGATCTGTGGAAACAAGTGTTGATACAAAATACGTAACTTCTGTTGCTGTGATTAGTCTCACAGAGTCATACTAATAATAACATATTTGAGAGATGATCAGTTCAAAGCTTGTGGGAGACTAGATTCATGGGGTTGAATGATGTGATTGCAGGCTGGTGGATACACTGATGCATGTCGCCAATGCAGTGGGTCTATGGATTTGTGGGTTTATGGATTTGTGGAATGTTGGTATCTTGCTAAATTATAAAATGAATGTTCTTGGGGTTTGTTGTTTTTCTTTGATTTTTTGGGGCATTTGGAATACAAATAAAAAATTTTAAGGTCAAATTATAGAATAAATCAGATTTGAATAGTGATTTTTTGCGTACCTTTGCATGATTGCATTTTGGTATTTAACTTTAAACTTGGTATGGGGTAATATGTTTTATTTTGCTTGCTAATTCAGAATCTTATTTTGGGTTGGTAGGTGGAGACGAGGTTTATCCATTTTCTGTATATTTATTTATTTGTTTATTATTTACTTTACTTACTCTTTTTGGTTGATGTTTACTCTTTCTTTTTTGCATTGTCTCTGATTGGCTTTTTCAAATTGCACCACATGCACAATGATATCCTTAATACATGAAACTAATTAATTGAGTTATTTGGTTATACAATATGAATTTGAGCTTAATTTTACATTTGAAGTAACTTTTTTAATTACCCATGTATTGTAAATAATACGGTCTGAAAATGTATCATTTAAATTCCTCATTTAAAAATAATACCAATTAATATGTGACTTGTTTGCAACAAGACAAGACTGAAGCAAATCAGTTTTTGCTGATTTTCTTAAATTTTTTTGTTATTAGATCAATACACAAACAGTAAATATTTTTTTCATTACATGAAGTAAGGAGTACAGCATATCTTTATTATACATGCATGCGATTATGATGCTAAGTCTTTCACCTACGTTTTTTGACTAGGGCGCCATCTAATGGCACTGACAGGCCCTCTACAGCACCGCCGCAATCAGGAGGAAACATTCGAAGCTCCAACGTTCCGCAGGTTTTCAAATTGGATCTTGACGGGCTCGGCCTAAATGATGGTGACTCCAACGACAACATTCCACAGCTGGAGGACATGGACCATGTACAGGATCTACTAAGCGATGCTGTCAAACTTCCGCAGAGAAGGTATTCTTAAATAATGTTCCAGATGAACTAATTAAAATATAACTAATTAAACTAATTTATGGAAGTTTAATTACTTCCTTTAATTACTTTAATTACTGCCTTATGTGCTTATGAGCATGAAGAGGATTAACTAATTAAACTAATTTATGGAAGTTTAGCTTCAAACAAATTTTATCTGTTAAAAGAAAGGAACAAAGTCTGCTTTATGATGCTGTTAAAAGAAATTATCCCATAATAGGATAGTATAGAGCAATAGTACCAAGTAATCTGGTTACCTTGTGTGAGCCCACATTATGATGTAAGATGGTGTGCTATGATATCGTAACTTGCATTCAGCCCTCCAGCTGATATATAAGTAGAGCGGCGATAGGAATTGAACCAGGAACTTAGAGATCTCCACGGTTCAACGCATGGACAGTGGCTACTACCAGTTTAGGCAACTGAGCTAAGCTGCTCTTAAGAATTATTTTTGTGCAGGTCTTGCACACAAGCAGAATGTGTTGTGAATATCTGCACCATAGAGACACTCCTGTGCTTCTTGTTTAAATAGGTATACAGATTCTCAGCATCCATGTGCATACATAGAAAAAATCGCAAAACACCTCTCCTGTAGTTTACTTAGAAGCTGCCGTATATGCCTCTTATAGTGATCGATAATGGGTTTTGTGCTTTATTTTTCATTGTAGATTACAGAAACCAAGTTTGACTGTTGCTCAGCTAGATTTCATTATCTCACAGATTGCCAGTAATGACATTGCTATTAGTTTGCAGTCGTTAAAACAGGTATGGTTAATAAATAGTTTGCAAAATAGGTATAACGTATTGCCTTGATATGCTCTAACTTGTCATATTATTATTTACTATATAATTTCGCTACAACAGTGACTAGTGTACCTAGTGTTATGTTGGTATATAAAGGTACAATTTGTTGTTTGAACATCTCTACTAACGGTAATGGTTTTTTATTTTTCTTAGCTTGATGAGGCTTTACAGGATTCTGATCGCTCGAAGGTACTGACCGACCATATAGACCAGTTGGTAGTGACCACTTCTTTACAGCTAAGGATGGCCTTCAGTAAATACATGTCAGACGAGACCACATCAAAGGATGTGATCAGGATGTACAGGTGTCTGGTGGCGCTTCTCATGTCGGTAAGAAACTCATTTGTGCTGTGTAAACCCCTATAACTGATTGTAATGTAAATATTACATTTTTCAATATTTTTTTTTTTGTAATTATTAAAGTGGTTATGGGCAGTACCCCTGAAGACAACCCCTACTCTTATTTTGTATGTATGTATATATATTTGTATGTATACTGCATTGTTTAATGTGCGCATGGGCTATATTACACATAAGACCAATGGCTTAAACGTTTTATCCAAATGACTGTGTTATTGACACTTTAAAACTGTCCAACTGAAACACACTGATAGTAGCAGATAAAATGGAACTTTCTGCTTAGCCCTGTTGCTTGGATATTAGGCAGTTTTCACCACACGACTGTAATTTTGACGTTAATGGATGACGTGAAAATTTATTCATCTTGGTTGCGGAGTACATTAATTTCAGGGTTTTACGTGCTTGATGTACATTAGTTATGGGTTTGTGCATGCGTATTTTGATTTGTTCATAAAAGGGGCTTAGCTATCGCACTGCATTTGGGTACTAACGTTAAGGTTAACGTCCTGCAGCGAAAACAGTCTTCTGAATTAGGGGGTTATTATCCTTGGTGTGAATGTCACAAAAAATCATCCTATTCTAACCAAACTGCTTCCCATGTACTATGATCAATTCAGCAGAAACTAATATTGGTCTTTTTTTTTTTTCCACAAAGCTCTTTCAAAACAGGATGCTAGCAATGAAGGCATCAAAGGACGTTCTCTGTGATCTGGTGAATGGTCTGATAACGGTACTCATTGACAACCGACTGGAAGCATTTGACGATGGTCCACAGGTGATCCGGTCAATTAACATGCTGATGGTCAAGGTACTTGACCAAAGTGACCCTACCAATAGCATGTGGTAAATACATCTTACTATTTGCTCAACAAGTGTAAAAGTTTAATTTAAAAAAAAAAAAAATCCGTACATGAAGTTCAGATAACTAATATGTGAGAATCTGAAACTAATGATAATGGTATAATAATGATAATGATGTATTTTGAAACAAAATAGTCGTATGTAATAATATGTATTTTTAGTTTCTCCTTTATATTATATAAGTTTTGCAGCCTAGGCTGTCTCTATTTCATTTCAAGGATTCGATAGGAATTATTTCATGGTTTATTTCAGTTTTTTTTTTTATCTGAAGTCAGTACCAACTTGTTGCTGTCAAATATATCTAAATGGAAATTAGTTAAATAACATGTTTATTAAGTGGGTTTATTTATTGTAAAATTTGGCTCCAATTTAGAATATTACTTTATGTTTGCCCTGATATCTTTTCTGATGAATATAATACATAATGAATAAATATTAATCATGCATTATATTATTCATTTTCCTAAGCTTTCATATCCAAATGTTGGAAAATACTTCATTAAGCATAAGTCACAATTTACCGGGGTAGTTGATTTATGATGTTGATAATAATATGCTAATTACTGGTAGCAGATATTGTTGTACTCTCATTCATACTGTATGTTTTAAGGTAAGTTCTGTTCCCTTTACAGTGCCTTGTTGAAACTACTACAGGAGTATGTAGCCCCTATTTCATTTCAAGGATTCGATAGGAATTATTTCATGGTTTATTTCTGTTTTTTTTTTTTTATCTGAAGTCAGTACCAACTTGTTGGTGCCAAATATATCTAAATGGAAATTAGTTAAATAACATGTTTATTAAGTGGGTTTATTTGTTGTAAAATTTGGCTCCAATTTAGAATATTATTTGTGTCTGCCCTGATATCTTTTCTGATGAATATAATACATGATGAATATAATACATAATGAATAAATATTAATCATGCATTATATTATTCATTTTCCTAAGTTTGCATATCCATATGTTGGAAAATACTTCTTTAAGCATAAGTCACAATTTACCGGGGTAGTTGATTTCTGATGTTGATGATAATAATAATAATATGCTAATTACTGGTAGCAGATAATTTTGTACTCTCATTCATACTGTATGTTTTAAGGTAAGTTCTGTTCCCTTTACAGTGCCTTGTTGAAACTACTACAGGAGTATGTAGCCCATGAAAGCAGCTCACCAAAGTTTGTCCAACTTATCATGAAAGTAAGTCCCAGCATGCATTTGCAAATTCATTTATCATATAAATCAGTATAGCGCCCTCAATCATTGGTAGATTCCAGAGTTCAGATTTTCTATAAGCCAATGTGGCAAAGACAAGCCAAACCAGTCACTCGTCGCAAAAATCCATTTTTAAGTTACTAATTAATAATACAGGGTTAAACAGTAAAATGAGAGCTATAAAATGGTATATAAATTAATAAAATCCTATATTTACCTATGAAGTTACAAGCAACTGTTCAAAGGATAGTATTTGAGTTTATGATTTCGGGCATTTCTCAGGCAGAAACAATCACCAAATCATTCAAAATTGTTTTAACATTGAAAATGAGAAAAATAAAAATTAGAGCATAATGTATAGATGTATTAAGTTTAGTCTAGTGCAATAAAATAGATTTCAAAATGTTGACGTTCCAAAATGTGACTGGTTTGGCTTGTATTTGCCACAAATAGTTGATGTGGACTATGGCTTTATTTTCATTACAGCTATTTATTTTTCTATAGCAACAATCGACAGTTTTTATTGTTTTTTCAATATCATTTTTTATGGATGCTAGGCCTGGATTAGGTTAGGCTTGCTGTTGATCCTGATATTCCCCATAGGGGAATCCCCTTTCTGCAGAAATTGCTGTAGGGATGGGTATTTGTACCCTCGATTCTGAATTAAATGGCTTTTGTATGCTAATGGCAATAATGTATAATACCATACCAACATATGGATGTTAATCATATTGTTAGATTTTGAACGAATGTTTTTGATATGCTAATTATATTATGCTGTTTACTGCTATCATGAGTTTTGTCAATTTGATAGCATATGGACGATCAGTATAGAGCCTTTCTAAGCGAATGCCATGATTATAATAATGACTGGTTATTGTATGATAATAATTCTTTATATGTAGAAATATATGGTCATGATGTGATGACATCATAACCATATTTAGGCGTATCTTGTCTTGTCAAATATAACTTGATGGTTTTTAGAGGGATTTAATTCATTATAGCTAAATTATTGATTATTATGTAAATATATTTTCTGGATGTCTAACTTTGATATTTTTTAAATTGTTATCAATAGCTTGTATAGTAGATTACTGTCGTTATATGAGTTGTTGATATAAACTAATATTTCTGTGTATTCCGCTTGTGTCTTTAAGCAAGGCACTTTATTTGCATTGCTTCTCTCTACCTAGGAGTATGGGTACAGGGTGGGGTTACCTGCTTCTGTGCTGATTTCAGGAGCAACACATAAGCATATAGACTCAATGACTGGTGACACCACAGTTCATATCTGCAATATAAATAACCAAATAAATAAAAATGAATATTTTCATTCGGTTGGATATTTTGTTATAGTTATGCATTGAAATACATTTGGAATAAATTTGGTTGGGTTAATGAAATGCCTTTTTTTTTATAGTGTTTGTGGAGGATGGTTAGGTCCATGCCAGAGATCATCCACGATATTAATGTGGAACGTCTGTTACTGTCGCTGCATCTTTTCCTGAAGGCTTTCCCGAGTTCCGTGTGGAAAGAACGAACCAATGACACTCCACTTAGAACCATCAAAACGATATTGCACTCACTTGCCAAGATTCTTGGTTCAAAGGTGAAATATGTTTTTTATTTACAATAATGTTTGTGAGACCTACAATTTCACACATTCAAACTTTGTCTGTCAAACATTTTATTTATTTATTTTTTTTTTTATTAAACAAACCACCTTGCATTATAGTAGAATGTGAAAAACATCACACAGAAATAATAAAACCTACAAATATACCAAAAACTTTACTAAAACCCAATTCCACTGAATTTTATTCCATGCTTAACAGGTGTTAAGTTACCTTGTGTTAATCAATGATAAGAACTCCGAGGTTGAGCTGTACCTAAAGAAAATAGTGAGAAACAATCGCAAATCAGTCGGAGGAGACCACATAAATGGATCAGTCCAAGAAACAAGCAACTCGGTGAGTGTTGACAACTTTCTAAATGTTTTTGCAATTGCTAATATGTAACATTAATATTTTGTTTTATCCGTGTCCACACTAGTTTTGTGTGAAAAATAATATTAGACCTCAAATAGAAACTCTGGGCTTTTGTTATTGGACCCTTGGATGGGATTCTTTTTGAGATGGGCCTCTTTTAAAGATGGGTATCTTTTGAGATTAATTTTGCAAACTAAAGAGGGAGGTTTCTTTCCAAAATGAATGCTGTAAATTTTGTAATTTTCTACTATATAACATTTTTAAACTATTCTCATAGTTACCAACCATATTTTTAAAATTTTAACCATGCTGGTACAATAAAATAATATTGATACTAACACGAAATCATAACAATCAAAGATAATGTGATTGTGGGTACTATCTCATAACAAGCACATATTATCATGATTAAAAGTTAATGGGCTTCTTTTCGAGATTGCTTTGGCAAACTAAAGATGGAGGCTTCTTTTCGAGGTAGGCTTCTTGTCAAGGTTAAACCCATTGAACTTCTATTCGAGGTTTTACAGGATCTAATGTGTCCTTGTGTAATGACATATGGGCAAATTACAGATATAAGTTACATAAAAATTGATGTTATGAGCAGACCTTAAATTATTGGTTGGTATCCTTTATTAATTAAAGATGGAGGCCTAGTTCAGACTAGGTGGATAAACCCGGCTCAACTCACTAGGTGGCTTATCTCAAGCTGGGCTGTGTTCCTATAGTAACTAGGCCTGGCATGCCACCGTGTTTAACATTTCTAAGCCGGGCTTTAATCATTGCGGGGGATCTTGCATTGACTTCGGGTAACAAAATGACCAATCAGCATTCAATTACTTACGCTGTGAGCGAGCGTACATTTCGGAAGCAATGTTTTGAAACACGTTTGCTGGTTACGGTTCATTATTATGAAAATTCTCGCGCCTGGCTAATCCCGCTAGTCTGAACGCCTGCCAAAGTTAAGCTGGGCTTAGCATTAAGCCGGGCTTAACTCAAGCCTGGCTTATCTCCAAGTCTGAACGTAGCCTTAATATATTTTACATGAATACACTTATACTGTATCATGCTTATATACGTTTGTTTATTGTTTATATCCCTGTCCAGTCTTCTACCGGTAATGTAGCCTCTCCAAGAAGAGGGACAGCCCGAACAAACGACATACTAGCAGAAATATTCAAAAGAATTGGTTCCAAAGAAAACACAAGAGAGGTGTGTATATGACTAGAATTAATTTGTAAATAATTTAACGACTGATTTTTTTTTTAATACTGTTTCTCAAGCAAAATCTTCAACTAATCGTGTTTCATTTTAAAGAAATCATTAATTCGATATAAAATGCTTATGATTTTATTAGACCAGTTACATTTTTAAGAAAAACAAACCTCTTTGTATTCTTTGTTAAAGAATGCCAATAAGTTTAGTGATCAGGGTGAAGACCAGGTAACAATGTCATTAATTTATCTTTTACTTGTGCATCTCCAATTAAATTTGTGAAGTTTGTGGTGTACACAGTAACTAGTGCGCAGTGCACATATTTCGGCTTCAGTATATAGTGCACAACTGAGCGTGTCGGCCCCCAGAACGGAGATTACTCGCCTGTGATTGGTTGTTCCTGTAGCACTAATGGAGTCCTCCACAGGTTGCTTGGTGTCATCTTTGAGTTCGGTTTATTGTTTGTTTTTTTTGTGGGGAGGTGGTGCGGGCTTTTTGGGGGGGGGGGTTTTTTTTTTTTTTTTTTTTTTTTTTTTTGTTCAAATTTTCATTTCATTATATAAAAAATACAAAGCAGTTTATTCTCATGTTTCTGAACTAAATCAATTTTAATGGCATTTTTATATGGCTTTTGGTGTTTAAATATTTCAAAGTATTATTGCCTTGGGCAAATATTCAGTATAGGCTTAAGTACATTCATATCATCCTCCTGGGTAGAGAGACAGATACTCCTTCGCCCAACCACATAAGCTTATGGCCAGAACAAACTTCACGGTTAACCAGCCAAAATCATGGCTTATTTATCCATCTATGCATAGATTGCAATAAAAATGAGTTGGCATTATAAAAATTTGTTGAACCTATTCATATGCCTCCTGATTGTGTCTTTGGCCAAGCCACCTGACAGTCACCAGTCTCTCCACCCTGGATTGTAAGTGGGTACCTGGTAGCAAAGATTATTAAATTGCAAGAATTCCGACTTATTTTTTAAGCACGCAATGAAACATTTTGAAAAGTACTACCGTGAGATAGAGGGCGTCCTATTTACAAACGTTCTTTTGAAGGATACCCTCTATATTGTGGTAGCACTTTTTTTGAGATGGGATTCGTTCCAATGAAACCCCTGAAGTCGGACCTCTAGTAGTTCTATTCTCTTTGCTGGTAGGTTAAAAGGCACATCTGATTTTTACTGGCAGCAGTATTATGAGTATGTGTTCAAATAATTGGAATAATAATGTAAATCACAATGAGGCCTTGTGGGCATTATGCGCTACAGTACATAAAACTGGCATATATTAATAATGTAAAACAGGAAAATGAAAGAATTTATAAGAACATATATTATCTTCTACACTAACATGGCATCCTGGGTTGAGTATTACAATGTTTCTAATGTGGTGCATGAATGTATGGGCAAAATCTGGAATTGTGAACACTTTCTAAGTGTAAAATTAATATTATACATCATAAAAGTAAATATTACCAGAGTTTTATATATTCTGTGCATAAATACCAGGTTTCATAACTGGCGGGCTGGTAATTGATTTAAGAATGTTATTGTAGAAACTGTTAATTAATGATTGCATAATTGTTTCGGTCTGTTTTTCATAGGAAATCTATTTATTATTTTAAATAAGCATTTAATTAATATTTAAACATGTATAAAATTTTTAAGGTTTAATTAGCCTTTTACCATACTGTTTAGCTTACAAAACATTGTAAATGATTAGTTCTAAACATTTATTTTAAGTTTTATTTTGAAGCTTACATTGGAAATTTGCTTTGCTATTGTAGTCTCTTGTTAATGTTATGCTCATATTTGTTAATGTAAATCCTCCAGCTTTTAATCAGTCCTTTCTGTAATCCAGACCATATAGACATATCATGACTATATGCGGGCATCATGACCATATATAGGCATATCATGACTATACATGGGCATCATGACCATATATAGGCATATCATGACTATACATGGGCATCATGACCATATATAGGCATATCATGACTATACATGGGCATCATGACCATATATAAGGATATCATGACTATACATGGGCATCATGACCATATATAAGGATATCATGACTATATGTGGGCATCATGACCGTATATCAAATCAAATCAAATCAACATTTATTTCTTTCACAATATAACAATAAAAAATATATACATTTTTATGTATATACACTATTTTAGTTAATATAATTTAAATTGAATTTTTTTTATATAGGCATATCATGACTATATATGGGCATCATGACCATATATAGGCATATCATGACTATATGTGGGCATCATGACCGTATATAGGCATATCATGACTATACATGGGCATCATGACCATATATAGGCATATCATGACTATATGTGGGCATCATGACCATATATAGGCATATCATGACTATACATGGTCATCATGGCCATATATAGGCGTATGACTATATACGGGCATACACATTTTTTTTTTTGTCAAAGAAAATTTGAAAATGCTTATAGGCAGTGGATATTTAGCCGCTAGAATGCCTGTTTGACAACACAATGGTGATGGTTAGTACAGATGCACTTCAACCCTAATGTTAGGGATAAGCAAATTTGAGTTTTAACTAGCAAAATCCTTTTTTTTTTTTTTTTTCAAACATCTAGCTTTAGACAGTACAGACACTTTGTACTAAAATCAACATAGTTCTTTAATGTTGCTTCTGTTTTAGTAAGGTAGAGTTTTGATAATAACAGATTTAAATTTTGAGATGAACGAAAAATGTTAGTTTTCATTTGTGTGTCAAGTAGCTTTCTGATGTGTTTTTGGCTTGTGTAATAGTTCGCACATTTATGTTCAGTATAAGTGCTGAGCCTACAACATGTACTAGAAACCACATTGATGTGCTAAATAAGTTTACTATTTATAAAGTATTATAGTAAAAGTATATAATACTAACCCTTTTTTATATAGTTCTAAATTCACATATTATACAATAAGAATATGTATTGGACTCTGCTCATCATTATTAGTTTTTAATAATATTTATAATTATTACAGTAGAACTCCTTTTCAAACAACACCTTCGGGACTAAAAAAAAGTGTCCCCTTAATAGGGAGTGTCACCTGAATAGGGTAGGTCGTAGTGTTAAAAGATATGTTTTCGCTTATTTTGTGGCCAAAAAAGTGTCCCCTTAATATGGGTGTCTCCTGAATAGGGATTGGCCGTAGTGTTAAAAGATATACTTTCCCTTGTTTTGTTTGCCGAAAAAGTGTCCCTTTATTAGAGATATCTTGAAGAGGGGGCTCTACTATATTTTTATTGATGTTGGCATTATAAATATTTTCTCCTTTACATAGGGCTTAGCTGAGCTGTATGATTTCAAATGCAAATACCCCGACGTCGATATTGAGCCTTTCCTGAAGAAGACCTCACCCTTCTTCCAGAGCTACATAGAAAGAGGCTTAAAGAACATTGCCACAGAGCGCGAGAAGGCCCAGACCGAAAAGCAAAACAAAGGACGCAGTGTTGGAAGCACAGACAGTATAAGTAAGACATAAGAAATCACTACTTTAAAAGCAATCTCCAGGTTCACGCTATTTAGGTGTGTAGTGTAGGAGTATAAGAAGTTCCATCTGCATAGGCACACTAGTCAAAGATTCAGAGAATAATACTTTATAGAACATATTATTACCTTATTTGGAAACTAATTTCCTTTATTGATCATAGATTCTACAAGAGAACCCTCAGATCTACATCCCTCATGACCCTCTGTGTGCCCCTTAATGTTCATGGAGGCAATAGAAGAATTTTGAATTGAAAATGAAAATAAATCAATGAAACTGGGTGATGGTCATACAGGCCTCGAATTTTACCGCGGCCATTGCTAACAGTGCCCTCCCAGTTGGCCTTGGTGCTCCCCCCAGTTGGCCTTGGTGCCCCTAAAAATGAAGCACGACGACGGCCACTGCTTGCCTGCCCTTTTGAAACCTTGGCCTCGCTGCCCTCACGATGCTTAATATAGATTGTTTGACACGTAAAATAAATCTAAGTAAGAACGTTTAAATCTTGAAAGAAAACACGAAAGCCAAAAACGTAGGTCGTCTAAGCTAGCCTAGGCCTAGGCTATTTGCGCATGCATCTTACTCTAGCGGTTATTGCAATGCTGTATATATAAACATGGGCTCATTCGACTGGTTCATTTCGTTGGAACAAATTTTCGTTGAGTATTATTTTCATTCGACTGGTTCGTTTAAAATAGACTTCGTTGACAACGAAAATTAACGTAAACCAGAGTGCGTAATCAGCGTTAAGAGAAACATGGCCGATTGGTGATTTTTTATTAACAACATTTGCGTTAATATAACTTAGATTAAATTTCATAAAAATAAACATTATAATATTTACCCACATGGAGTCAAACAATTATTGTAGGCAAACAGAATAAAAAAAAATGGATGAAAATATTGTTTTTTACGAAAAACCCATACTACCACAAGTTGAAGTGAAGAACGACCAGTCGAATACGGCCTTTGTATAGTTGTAAACATGTGCTTGCTGCACAGCTAACTTTGGGCGATCTTACGTCATCGCAGCTTTCGCAGCCAGTTTAGAGTTGTGGCTTCCTCTCCGATCATGACGGACTGAGCAACAACACAAAGATATCGAACTTCTTGAAATTTGACTATTCTGTACGATCGCCGACCGCCGCAGTATATTCCAACATTGAATCGATAATTAATAGTTAATACTCTAAACAAAGTCATATTACCATTGACAACTATGGCTGGGCTAGGCCTAGCTTGGCTTGGTCTAGGCCTAGCTTGCCTAGCCTGGCTACGACTCAAGGCACTCGCGAGAAATTAGTACTGCTAAATCAAATTTTGCCTTGGGTGCCCTTTTATACTTGAAATTTTTGCCTTGGTGCCTTTCAATTTGGCCTTGATGCCTTTCAAAATCATGTCATACCGGAGGCCATTTGGCCTTGCCCATAAAATCCCCAATTTTGAGGCCTGGTCATATAAAAAAAAAATAAGAGAGAGTATGCAGAATTTTATGTTGCTCAAGCCCTACTCAACATCTCAAAAGTCTGGGGTTTGGTTTTTATATTGTAAAAATATATATTTACCAAGAAGGAGCTGAAAATACTTTCATGTTTCAGAAGGCTATTTTCAAGCTTTAAAATGATAAATTTGATAACAGGATTTCTGCCCTCTGATATATATTTAATCCTGCAAAATGCACTGGAAGAAACTGGTTGAAAAATAGTATCCTAAATTCACAAATAATAATAGTTTATATTGCACAAATTCCATTAGAATATTTATATGTTCAAATGTGCATTGCAATATAATACAGTAGACAATAATATAAGTTTACAATATAAAAGAGAAAGTGAAAATTCTGGTCAGCTAAAATTCAACAGCATATTAAAATTCAATCAAATTGCATCACAATAAAAGTTAAACAATAAAGTTCAAATTGGCAAGAACATCACACGCATGTTAAAATTCGCATTAATCAGATCGGCAACAAGATTTTAAAATTATCTATTAAAAGCAATAATAAAAAGTTGTGTTTTTAAAAGATTTTCAAAAATATCAACTCTAATTGCTTTCCTGATCTCAGTCGGCAGAGCATTCCTCAGTTTAGAGAAGCATATTCAAAAGCATGGTCACCTAAAGTGGCTAGTGCACTCTAGGATAGTCACTGTGATCTGGCATCACAATTTGTTTTTGGAGCCTTAAGATATCATAATATTGTCATAATATAATTTTGTTGCTTGAAGGTTCGGTAGATTCAGTAGGCAATCTTTCAGCTGGACAAGACGTGTCAACATCACAGCTACGCGACCGCCTCAAAGTACTGCGTGCACGTTGCGGCTTGGACAATGGAAGTGAGGCAGTACAGGATCCTGTGCCAGTTAAGTCGAGCAGCCGACCTGAACTAGTAACATCATCCTCTATAGAGTCCGACTCTGGAGTAAGTAGAACTTTTTTGTGGAATAATGTGAGGGGCAGGGGAAATGTCTGTGGGTAGCTGTTAGGTTATTTTTTATGCTGTTCAAAACTCTCTTTGGTTTATTTTAGTCTTATTTTTTTATAAATGTAATTTATTCTATTATTATAATTACCAACCACCACTTGATAAAAGTTGCTTTTTCAATTACAAATAGCTTTTAATTTTATTAATCATGTCCACACTATTATAAAAAAGATGCTATTTGTATTTTTTTTTTTTTTTTTTTTTTTTTTTTTATTTATTTTTTCTCAAGCAATTTTTGGTTTTTTTTTTTGGTTTTTGTTTTTGTAATCTTAAAAGAATAATAATACTGCACTATTAAAATAACATAAGCATGTTTGTTGTTGAAGATAAAAAATACAGTTATTGGAAGTAGTTTTCTAGGTAGTAGTGTGGTTGATTAAAGTTTAGACTTGATTAAAGTTTAGACAGTAATTCAATACTGTGAGGATGAACAATTAGAGTTAATGAACAGACGCTTACTGTAGGCAACACATTATCTGCTCTGCTATTAAGAGAATAATTAATGCATTGCATCAGGACATTGCTTTTAAACCTATCAGGTATCCACTGATACTCTGGTAAACATATCGATGAAGTGCTTTGTCCAAAAACACAAGTAAGTGAGCATCCTCAGATTCGAACCACAACATATTTATTGGAAGCCCAAAACCTCTGTTCCACATGGTTAATAATGCAACATATGTGATGATTATAAATTGCTGAAATTTGCTGGTAGATTTGTAAACATTTGTAAATAAAGGGGGTTTATTTCTGATTTTTTAGTGTCTGTGAGCACTGTTTTTCAACTCAAATTTAAAACTTTCAGGAATTGTTACTTATGCCAGGATTTACCCGGACTTATGACTAATTTCTTCCATCATTAGTAACATTAATCCAACACCTATATAATGCACAGTCTATTTATTACCCATTCCAAATTAGAGGTAATTAATAATTCTTGAGTACTCAACAACTTGGCATTCAAACTTGACAGCACCCACTCCTCGCTGCAAAGAGACAATAAAATGCCTTACAAGGTTAAGCTGGTTTTCCACTAGGCGAGTTTATTTGCGCGAATCGAAAGCATCGTTCATGCGCATTCGCATTGACATTTCTATCGGAGTGTTCGTTTCAGTGAAATTTGTAGTTTGAACTGTTTCTACTTTTTGCAAAGTGAAAAATGTTTGCAACCAATCAGAGCTCAGGAACCGAACCGACGCCTTCGATTCGTGCGAATAAATTTGCCTTGTGGAAAACTGGCTTTAGTTCACACTAGAGGCTAGCTGTTAGCACCTGTGTGAGAACGGCCAATCAGTTAGCGCTAACCGTTTCTGGATAAGCTAACTGTTAGCGAGTGTTATCAAGTTGAGCACGTTTCTATCATTAACCAGTCACCAGTTTCCTATTACCCAATGACCCTGTGAACATCTTCTTGATATCTGGATCAGGAATTTTCTTGTGGTGAACGCAAGAGTGAGCCCGTATGTTATTTATCTGGATCCTGTTATTAACGTTAGCTGGTTTGTGTGAATGTAGCCCAAAAGTTCCCAATAGTGCCATATGTTTGATAATATTCTACAACATCTTAGGTGGCTCGTTCAGTTTTTGAAAGTGACTATCAAATATAGCTTCTGTCAGGAACATCAAAATGATGCAATTATTTCTTTCAAAAAGTGAAAAACTATGCTTTCCATGGCTTTTAATTTTAACCAAGACAATATTTTAATTTTAATTCTTAATATGCAACATGTATAATGATGGTGTTACATGGGTATGGTATTGTAAGATTGTGATTCAATTCCAATTCAGTTTAAAGGACTTCACTTTTAAATCAGTGGCAGTGAAAAATGTGTTATTGTGCATCCGAAATATCCTAATACTAAACATAAAATTTTTAAAACTAAATGTTAAACAGTAGGCCTACTAGAAAATCTTAAATCTTTAAACAATTAAAAATTAATACAGTATAGTAAAAAAAGGTTTGAAATTAAATAAAAATCACAATGCCAGTTCAAATGCAGATTTACGAACCTGTCTTTATCAAAAGTGGTACAAAAAATATTAATTAAAACACATTAAATACTGCAATCCTTAAAAGGTCTAGATATTTTTTTTCTGGACTTGTTGAGGTGGTAATTTAGTTTTCTTTTATGGAACATTCAATTAATTGTTTACAGTGAAAATCAAAAAGGTTATTAACTTTGTTATTAGGAAAACATTAGATAAATCATCAAGTAAGAAGTAGCATTTACACTCATTAGACCCATCATAAAATACATTCCAATAGGATGATAATCGCCATGTTTCAAGATCATTTATCACATGTATGTTTTTTTTTAACAGGGATTTAGTTTATGGTGTGTGGGGCCACCCAGCCTTGAAGTTTTCCACCCAGTCTAAAGCTAATTTCATGGCCCTCCACCCACCCTTATTAACCCACTTTTCCATCCTTAAAATCCACTCTTATTGACTAATGTTATCACACATCCACCCTTAAAATGTCTATCACCCATTCTCAGTTTTCTGCAGCTACAACCCTGTTAAATGATTGACAATCAAAAAGGAAATGGTCTTCAATTGAATTTACATTCACAGATTTTGCACAATCTAGTATAAAAGTGGCGAGATAATCAGCCATTCGGCTCTAGTTGTGTGTTTTCAAGAAATCTCCCCCATTAACCATACTGAGGTTCTATCCATTTTCCTTTTTCTTTTTAATTCAACTTTATTTTCTTTCAATCCTAGTCTTTTTCAAATTAAATTTATGATTTGCTTTTTGTATGTTATTCGTTTACAAGCATAATGCTATGCCGCATTTGTATCAGCCACAAAGGGTAAGAAAATAGAATATTTTGTCCAAAAGCCTTTTGATTTTGTTATTTTGTTCTCCCGCATAAGAATTTAACCATCTACTGTATCTCATTATCTATTTTTGCTTTGAACTCTATTGCCTGTTTTATGCTTGATACTTCATAATGATTGTTAATAAGATCTGATTGATCAAGTTTAAGCAATGATAATTAATATATGAGGAAGACAGTGAACTCTGCAGAAATATCAACACTTTTTTTTTTTTTTTTTAACCCTGTACAAGAACCCCTTTGATAATTATTGGAATATGTTTGTTTGGTAAATTGCCAAAATATTGATTTCCTGTGTTGAAATCACTCATATAAATGCTTGATTGATAAAGCTTGTTCCAGACATATTGTTTGTGCTTAAATTGTTAAATCTGACAGATAAAAATTTCATAGTTCATATCTGGCTTAGCCTTTATTCATAGCATCACATACTGTAGTTTTCAACCCAGACACATACTGCATCGGCCAATCGTCAGCAAATGAATCCTTCATTAACCTGAGTGAGCGTCTGATGTAGTATTATGCTGTATGGATTTCAGCAGCAGTTGTAATAGCAAATCATTGTTAAAAAACAGTCCCAGTGTACAAAATTTGGCTCAGGTGCACTTAAAAAAAAACCATTATGTATTTTGAGATGAGTAGGGGGCTACACCAGTGTACTGGTCCATTCAGCCCCAGTTGTAGACAGACAAGAATAGCTAAGTACCGGTTTACTCGGCAGCTCAGACACTAAGAGACCCCTTAGCGGAGAAGCAATTTTCTGTACAAGCTAGTCCACACCTCAAGCATTTTGAGACTTCAGTATAAAGCGCTTCATAAATCTCTATCCAAAAATTAATGAAATTGACATTACTGATTTTCCTCAACTGCAGTCTTGTTGATATTGTTCGCAGAGTACGCTGTCACACTCTTATCTAATTGAAGTTTCTGTAAGCACCATGTTAATATACTTATGTACCTCATCTTATTCTGATATAAATATAGGGAGAGTGTGAAATAATAAAATATAATAATAATAATAATAATTATAATGAAATATTACTTTTTTTCAGCCACAATGAATCTTATAAAACCTTTATGAGAGAATGCTGTTAACTTTATTTATATATACATTTTTTTTTTAAATTTTATTTTCTCCTTCATTTTCTGAATCATGTATATTGCCCTTTTCTTCAAATGCATTTTAGTTTTTTTGCTCTCTTATAGAATCTAGTTTTTTTTGCCTTGTAGTTTTTGTTGCAACTACTTTATTTTTAAATTTTATTTTCTATTTTTCTACTTCAATCAATGTGTTTGCATTGCTAATATTAATATTATTTAATGCTATTATAGTTATTATTGTTATTATTATTATTGCTATTATTATTTTTTTAAATATTAAGTTGTTGCTTTATGATCATCAACATCAACATTATTTATTTGCTATTTTTAAAGACTTTATTTTTATTATTTTACTGTCGCTACAATCTTCTGTTGGTTTATCATTTGCGGTTTACAACTAATGAAATTTTACAGGACCATAGAAATTATGATTATATATTTACATATATTAAACATTTTAATTACAACAGTTGGTAAATTGCAAGATTTTCACATATATACGTTGTTTTACATCGGAAACATTGGGAATGTCAGCGTGCTATAAGTGTGCGACTGAATAATTTGAATTTATCACATTTGGGACAATCATATGCATTATCTACCGTAGCTTTTGTTTTGTTAACACATTTAATTTTGTTAATTGATTGTTTCTTTGTGATACATATTACGCATCAAGCAGCTGATTTTCCAGTTGCAAACAATTTTTTTAATACTATTCTGAGGCAAACAACATATCTTCATCGAAGATACCTTTGTTTTTCCCCGTAATCTCTCGGTTACGTTGTTTTACCAATGAAAATAATTATAATTAAAGTTTCATGCTTTAAGGATTAGTGTTGCTATCTCCAAAACGACTCATTGTTGAGACCTGAAATTTTTTAATGGTAAATACTAATATTTTGGACTGCAAGGTTTTTCCACTCTTTGTTTATTCATTACTATCTAATTTAATTATTTTGCCTGAAACCTGGCATGCTTAATTTTTGTTAACACATTTAATTTTCTTAATTGATTGTTTCTTATTTAAATCTAGCTTTTAATTTTCAACCTACATTTTAGGTCATTCAATTGACCGCTTTGAGAAGAAAATTCTGTATTAAATGTTTCTGTAATCTGGGGTGAATGCAAGGGTAGGGGGAGAGGGGGTGCAGGTGGTGCAATTGCACCATCTAAGTTGTATTAAGAAAAATAATTGTATTTTATTTTTGATATGAACGTTGCACCGGGAAGGTCCAAGATTTTTAAAGTATGAGGGTGCAGTTTCTGGGCATCTAGAAACTCAAAATTGTTTGCACCTCAGCCCCAACCCTTGTGGGCCTGAGTTGGTGTGGACACCGATTACCACCAAATTCTGCATCCGCTCCAGGTAATTGACTGAAAAATTTAGAGAATTGTAAGTTTTTCAGTTATAATTAAACTTAAATTTACTTTCTAGTGCGGAAATATGTTAATGCTTCAATTATTAAAAATTGGTGTGTTCATATTTTAAATAATTTTATTTATTACAGAACAAGACTTTTTGTCGTAACTGTTGTTCAATTGATGAAACCAAGTCTCATTTAAGAGGCAAAATTTAATATTTGGCAAAGAGTGTAATTTATTATAGAAATACAGTAATATATATTTCTGTTGATTAATATTTTGGATGTTGTTTCTCCATAGATAACGCTCGGATCAAGTACCTCCTCTGCCCCAACCCCAGCCCAGGTACCAGACACCAATGTTGACGAACTTAGAAAACGTCTGGAACGAATAAAGAAAGGAGGAAGTATGAAGTGAGCCCGGTTTGTTACTATACAGCTAAGAGTCGGATAATGGCATAGCGGAAATGTGCTTTGCTTTCCAATCTTGTGGTGTTTGTTCGATCCATGATTACAAAATTCATTATGTGGATAATAAAATATGAGAATTAGAATGCTGTTGAAAAATATTTAATCAAGGAATGGACTTGCTTGATGCTTGTATACACTATTGCATTAAAAAAGAAATGCTGATTGTACATAAGAGTGTATTGTTGATGAGCATGTGGTGTATCATAAACAGCAGGGTGCCCGAAGGACTCTTGAGGATAATAGAATTTTTGCCTCAAACGTAAAAAATGTAATTTTTTTTGTGACCTGCCAATTTTAGCTCAATTCTAGGCCATTGGAGCTATAGTTTGTATGTATAATTTAAATGTTTAAAGAGGTGTTCCTCCTTCAAATCGGCTATCCTGTTGAAGAATTTATTACTCTACAATTTATATCTTTAGCGCATCATGGATAAAAGGAAAATGTCATTTAAGATGAGAAAGATTGTTTAACAGATGTGTGGAAAAGACAGTTTTGATACAATAGAGATATTTTGATGTAAGAATGTACAATGCAGAATTGAATGGTTTGCTTCAGATACTAGCATAATGCTATTTCTATTTGTTGAGAAAAAAAGAAAAAGCATATAAAATTAACTTGCAATTGAAATTGCCTTGAATATTTAAAGCAGTGTTTATAAAAAGAAATCTCATGAATATATAAAACTGTTACAAAAATCTCATTAATGTTTAAAACATATTAACACAAGAAATGCCATCATAGAAATCTATACAACGTTCGTGTGAATATTCATGTTATTCATAAATTCCTATAAATATTCATAAAACTGGTCATGAATATTCAACAGTTTTTATATCAGGTAATGAGTGATAATATTAGTGTTTTTATGCAATGAATACCCATGACAGTTGTTTATAATTTATCTACTTAGATAATGGTTATTTATTCGCATTCAGTTGCCATATATCACTCTAAATCTATCCACACATATAAATTTTGTTACAAATAAATGTGATATTCCCATATTTGGGTATATTATGGCATCATGCCCATGTATGGGAACATCACAAAATTTGTCGCATAAAATTTGATAGCGTGGACTGAGCGTTAAGCTGCCTAGAAAAATAAAATATGCAGTAAACAGTTTTATTTTTTACTTCATTATTGCGATCTTTTGATTTGCGCTGCGACATGAATCTCAAATGAATTAACTCATCTCTAACCATCTTGCATTCTCTGCTCAACGTAAAATCAGGCCAAACTGCGTTCTACAATTAAAGACGACAAGAACTCAACATTGTCGCATGTGCGGATGCATCATGCAATCAAAGCGCCCTTATTAGACTCGTGAATTACTGTTGTGAACTGAATGACAAATGTGGTGACAAGTGCTTCTCATTATTATCTTAAATGTCTTTCACTTACATAAAATTTTTGTTCGCAGTTTTTATATCAACAATCCATTGTGTATATATAGAGTTTAGCATTTCTAACATTACATCTAAAAGGCCAAGGTTAAAGGTCATATATGTTGACATGACCTTTACATTAACCAATCAGATTGATGCATATTTATAGTGATTTAAATTATAAATCCTTAAATTGTAAATTTACATTATGACAGTTCATAAGATAATTATGTAACTATTGGTTACCCCTCCCACTAAAATATAATAGCACTGGGGTGTTAATATCAAAAGATGACTATTTCTATTATGCATTGATGTGAAAAGAAACTGAGGCAGGAATGCATACTATTGCATGCTTATGCGATGAAAAATAAACTTGCTGAAAATGTGATTGTATTTTTATCTGGTTGTTTGTAGCTCTGGTGTTTTTGTTAGCTGTGCCTGCTCACATGATCCAGTAACAATCATCGTATCTTTCATTTGCGTGTTTTCAATTGATCTCTTCAAAGAGCGCTAATGTGCAACAATTACTAAAATAGTTAGAATATTTTCTTCATATCTTGGGGGAAATTACTACAATAAATACCGTCCTGTGTCTATCCCTTCAACCATATCAAAAACATTCAGTAGGGCCTACCTACGTTACAAACTTCTGTTGCTTATTAATCCTTGGCAAACATGTAGTCATGAATAAAAACAATATGGGTTTTAAAAATTTAGACCACCCTCATTAAAGATTGTTGAAATAAATAAATAACTACTTTTCTGTCATCCCATATTAACAAATGTCTATTATCTTTATTATTCTAATTAGAGACTAAAGCTACAGAAGGCCATTGAAATCCTGGTCTCAAAAATTAATTTAATTTGAGGGAGACCTGTACAGTATTGGCATTTGATGCTATTGGTCGTTCAGGCATACAATACTTAATTAATTAACTGGATATTAAAGTATATTTGGAAGAAAGCAATGCACAGCAGGAAAAGGCAATATATACAGTACCTGTTAACGTGGTCCTCTTGCCAAGATATTCACTTAAAACCAACACATTCACAAATTATTACATAATTATTTTATGTACTGAATGATGAACAATATGGACTCGCACCTATTAAACTTTTTACTGATGGTAACAATCACAGTTCAACAGAGTCAACAATTTGACATTATAATTTAATGTAGCTTGGAGGGTTCTTTTTGGCATTGTTGATCTTGTTCTAACACATGTACATTTCAAACCTTTTTCATAGTGTATAAATTTTGATATTTTATATTAAATCATAGTGCTTTGGTTTTTGATTTTGTCATTCAGTTAGGGTAGAGATCTCATAAATACATTACTACCTATTACAGTTAATGTATTTGACAGATGATTGAAGCAAGGTCAAAATAAAACACATGCATTAACAATATCTCTGATTTCAATACAAAGTCATAATACAGTACATTAAGGAAACTTCTGTAATTGGCTTCAGTGTTGTACATATGTTGTACAGTACAATGTATATTACTTTTTACAGTATATTTTGAAGGTTGAAAAAAGGAAAGAGAACCACTTGTGTTGCCAAGAATGTGGTTCGTCTGTCCAGAAACATAAACTAGAGCACACTCCGAGAGTATACCACTGCTAACATCATAACCAAGACCATGAATTCGTTTTCAGTAGGCCTACCGTATTCGCGTACGTGAATAACCGCCCGGGCGCTTAAAATATTTTTTGCACTTTTTGAGGAGCGCTTATGGAAATACAGTAGATGAAAATCGTGAGTGTTCTTATGAGAACTTATTAAATTCTAAGAGGTAACTTTTTGAATGAAAAACAATATAGGGCCCATAAAGACATCGGGAAACAGAAAATTACGAATGGTGGTGTGGTGGAAAAGATAATCGTCCAGAGAACATGGCTCGTCATGACATTAGACATAAGTTAATTAAGAAACCTGTAGTGAACATTTCACTTCCACAGGTCACACTATCAATAATCTTAGAGTTACTGTAGTTAAGAAGGGTAATTTTAAGAACAATCTAGATAGGGAAATTTGTGAACAGAAAATAATTAAGCAACTTGACTGTGTAAACTATGGCTTTCTTGCCCACTACAGGGAATGATTTAATTGTTATGTTAATACATCCATTGTTTTTATTACTTGCCTTTTGTTTTAGACCTTTTATATTCGATTGCATGTTTGCTCCTCTTATCATTCACCTGAAGAAGTGTACTGTGTACACGAAAGCTTGTGACAATACATATTTCAACTAGTCTATAAAGTGCTACCGTTTTCTTATTGTTTGATTACTGTTAAGAGTACGGCTCACCATATTATTTATGACAAGAATGCTGTGAGTATTTACATAAAAGCATAGCACATGAACTTGGTGGTGGTGGTGGTGGTGGTTAGCCTGTTGGCCTGTTAAAGGTTTGTCGGAAAAGGAGTAGGAAAAATACGGTACTGTCTGTCCAGCTCTCATCTGTCCCAGAGAAATATCCTCATTTTGATATTGACCTAAAAAGAAAATAATTCCACTCCCAGAATTGATTGATTGGACTAATTGACTTCTATTAAAAAAAATTTTAAAATCATATTATTGAGGGGGGCGTTTATTCAAACGGGGCGCTTAAGGAAATTTTCACGGTTATTCGAGAGGGGCGCTAATTCAAACGTACTCGCGCGAATAATCTTTTTAGATATTCAGTCTGGAGCGTAAGTACTTTGAATGACCCCCAAATTCATACCCGAATCTGAATAGTCACCAGTATTAAATAGTGTCTACTTGTAACTTGGTTAACTCTTCAAAAACAAAAACTGGAAAATTTGAATACCCGTAACTACAACATTAATCATCTGAAAATCCATGCAAGCATAGGCCTACTACATTTAAACATAACTTATTAAGTGGAATAAGAATAAACCATTATAGTTAATATTACATAATCATGAATTTATTGTGTGTTGGAATGTTGTTTACTCTGTCCTACACCTCTTGAAGCCAATTGAGTATAGCTTATTCAGTCACAAAACCTACTGTTACCACCATCTCTTGTAGGCATCTGGCCGTATATGGACATTTTCAGTTGCAATTCACTGAAATTGTTCTGAGTGATCATCGTTGGTTGCACAATGGTCGTACAAGGTTACTTTTTAAGATACTGTACTGTGGCTACGTCTCGCTGTCACTTACTGAAAACTTTCAGTTGGATTCTGCTATAGTATATGAGTGTGAATGCTTTGAGAGATAGAACCCCTCCTTTGGGACACCCATATTCAGGGGACACCCCCTAATTCCTACTACATTTAAACAACTTATTAAGTGGAATAAGAATAAACCATTATAGTTAATATTACCGTCCAACCATGCAATCATGAATTTATTGTGTGTGTTGGAATGTTAGACCTATAGGTTAATCAACCTCTTGCCAATTGAGTATAGCTTATTCAGTAAAACCTACTGTTACCACCATCTCTTGTAGGCATTACATCTGGCCGTATATGGACATTTTCAGTTGCAATTCACTGAAATTATTCTGAGTGATCATCGTTGGTTGCACAATGGTTGTACAAGGTTACTTTTAAGATACTGTGGCTACGCCTCGCTGCCATTTACTGAAAACTTTCAATTGGATTCTGCTATAGTATGTGAGTGTGAATGCTTTGAGAGATAGAACCCCTCCTTTAGGACACCCATATTCAGGGGACATCCCTAATTAGGGACACTTTTCCGTGAAAGAGGAGAAATATCGTTTAACACTACGGCCAACCCTGTTAAGCTGGAGACCCCCATTAAGTGGACGAGAACATTTTCTGAGTGTGCCAAATTGTCAAATATTCCCGGTAGGTATTAAGAGGACTTTTTTTTCTGTGTCACAACAGCTACAATAGTCTCAAATAATAACAATTTTTTAACATATACAACTATTTTATTTTAATTTAATATTAACCCTGTCAACCCTGTTAAGCTGGAGACCCCCATTAAATGGACGAGAACATTTTCTGAGTGTGCCAAATTGTCAAATATCCCCAGTAGGTATTAAAAGGACTTTTTTTCTGTGTCACAACAGCTACAATAGTCTCAAATAATAACAATTTTTTAACATACACAACTATTTTATTTTAATTTAATATTAAAAATTAAATGTATTTACATTTCAAATTATTGCTGTATAGTACCGTACTTCTAATTCTACTGTAACTGATTCTTATATGTCAATAAAAATAAAATTATAAAGAATATATGTCAACATTGTATGAAAATATGCCAAAAACCTTTAAGGGGACAATTTCAAGTTTTTGGTTAGTGTTCCCTGAATAGGGTTACCCCTATTCAGGGGACACCCCTATTGAAGGTACACTTTTTTAGTTCCGAAAATCCCTATAGGGGTTCTACTGTATTACCATGTCTAGAAAGAACATTGATATTGTAACCTATTGCGGCCTATCGAGATTTATTTTACAAACACGCTACTGTATTTAATTTTTATATTATTTGTCAGTGATAGATACTATAGAGCAATCTTAATAGGCGGCCTGCGGGCCGAATTGGCCTGTGTATAGCCAATAAATCTGGGACGTGTAAAACAATTTATTTAAACATGCACAACTAATAAAAATAAATAAATAATTTGAATAATTTTTGCCATTTATATGTCACTGAAGACAAAAACTCAACTCCTTATTGAAAAAAAAAATATATAGGCCTATTAATCATAAGTCAAAAGAACAGAAAGCTTGTTATTTTTTATGTATTTGGTCATAAATTTTTAAGTGTTTCTATAATTAATTTTAAATAATTATTTAAAAATAAGAGAGTTTGTTTTTGTATTATTTTCAACGTTATCCACAGAAAAATATCTGTACTTGTGAGAAACGGGTTGTCCTTGTTATCAAATTTTTTTATTGACCTTTAATTGTTGATTTTCTATAAATGTATTATTATGAAATGTAAAAAAAAAATGCGTAACCCCTGGGCATGTTCACTAACAACATTTAATGAGCAATCACGAGTGTAAACATGGCTTCATTGTTTAGAAGAGGAACATGTGCAAGTTTGTACGCAAGCTTGTAAAAAACACCGAGTTTTTGAGTAGGCGAAACCCAATGAGATCTAAAAAAATTGTTAAACAAACGCCAAAGATTAAGTTTGTTCCCTGGCTATTTTCCACACGTCTTCCCCGGTATTTTTCTTCTAATTTTTTTCTACTGATATCTTTGTTGATTTTTAAAATCAGTTTAAGCTCATTATATTTTATAAGACAGAACATATTATTTGTTTTTATTTTTGCTTTTTCTTTGTTTTCTCTATATAATAAATTAAATGTTGTATTTCGTTACACGGTTACACCATAAAGGTGTGCCGATAATACAAAAACGTTATCCAATCAATTGATTGATTGACTTCTTGATGCATTCGCAATGCTGATGAAGCCTAAAGAACACATTGTAGAATTATTTTAAACATTTTGCATCCGGGTTCACATACGCAAATAGGAAAGAAAAAAAAAGAAAAAAAAGCAGGCATTTTCTATAACATAGTTCTCTTTGGCTGTGAATATCACACCATTTCCTAGTCGTTCTATATATATCCATATTTGCCTGCATTAGTTAACTCCGGCAAGGAGCGGCAATATGATATCTCTTAAGGAGCGACAGGAAGAAGGACGCGATTAATTTCTACAGTACTTTTACGCTCAGTGCTCATTAGCTAGAGATTCTCTTCTACGATTATTATTACCTTCAATTCAATTCAATTCAACTTTATTGTCAAACACAGTGAGAACATGGTTTGAAATTCATCTTGTTTGTTCACAGTTAAAATGTAAGTTAAAACAAGACACAAAAGATAAAATCACAGAAAAAAAACAGAGGAAACAGCAAAAATTTAAAAACAATAAAAGTCTGTTAAAAGATTAAAATGGCTAAAAATGCTAAAAACATTAAAAAGGGGTTAAAATTGGTTAAACATTCTGTAAAAAAAATCAGCTTTGGCAAAGGCAAGCAGATTGGGGTATAAAGCATAGGCCTATCTTTTCCACATTTTATTAAATTGTCTCATAGCGCCTGGGAGAAATGATTTACAAATTATATTTGTCCGCATCCTTGGATATAACATACGTCCAGTCCTGATGAAGGCGAGGTACTGATTAAGAGGGTGATTAACATCTGATATAATTACTTCCATTTTTTTACACATTGCACTGTTAACACAATCTTCTATATTCTTACTGTTTTCAGTCCCTATAATTCTGTCAGCTGTTCTACTAATTCTTACTACTTTTTTCATGTTCTGTTTATCAAGGCTGTAAAACCAGACTATTGCACTAAAAGTTAGAATTGATAAAATGACTGATTCATATAGAGTACCATAATCTTATTACATACATGAAATTTCTTCAAAACGTCTTAGACTAGGAAGTACAGCCTCTGATTGCATTTACTGGTAGGCCCTAATGTGCTTTGTATTATCTTTCCAGTCAAGCTTATCATCAATAATTGTACCAAGATATTTATGGTGTTTAGCAATTTCAACCTTATCATGTATAATAGTCAGGTCATCATGTGTCTTGTTGCCTTTTCTAAAATTAACGATAATCTCCTTTGTATTTTTAACATTTAACTTCACATAATTATCTTGGCACCATGTTGAAAAGCGATCGACATTCTCAAGATATACCTGAGTGTCATTATCCTTCACAAGGCCAACTAGGCAAGTGTCATCTGCATATTTAACAGTAAAAATTTGTTTATTTGTACATTTAAAATCGTTAGTATATAAAGAGAAAAGAAAAGGAGATGAAACACAGCCCTGGGGAGCTCCAGTATTGCACGTACGTATATCAGAGTTAATGTTAAACAGACAAATCTCCCTATCCTTTAAAAAAGTTGTTGATCCATAAAATAAGAGATGGGTTAATACCTAAAATATTCATCTTCTCCATTAAAATATGAGGTTTAATTGTATTAAAAGCTGAGGAAAAATCTAATAATAAAACTCTAGCATATGCATCAGCACTCTCTAGATGAACAAGAATTATATGCAATAGGGTAGTAATGGCATCTTCTACACCTCTCTTAGGACGGTAAGCAAATTGATATGGATCTGCTTTATCATTGATTTCATTAAGGATCTCCCATTTAACTAGTTTTTCAAAGCATTTCATAGGCACGGCAGTAAGAGCAATAGGTCTGTAATCATTTAGCATTCTAGGGTTACTAATTTTGGCCAGTGGATGGATTAATAAGCGTTTCCATAATGCAGGTACCTCATGAGAATTGAGTGTCCAGTTGTATAAACAAGAAAAAAACATGTGCCAATTGCTCATTGCATTCCTTTAAAACTTTTCCACTGACACCATATGGACCTCTAGATTTTCTAGGGTTAATTGTTTAAAACACACGCTAACATTGTGTTAATCATTGCTAGCTTTACATCTGTCATGCTATCTCTAATATTATTTTCAATTTGATATCTAATGTCACTAAAATCATGATCATTATCAAATCGCAGGTAGAATTAATAAGATCAGTAGCCATTTTTTTAAATCATAATCTGTTTTAACACTATTTACACATTTTTGGTCATAACCTGTCATTATTCGCATACACATCTTGCTTGGTATTTCCAGACTTGAACTTTTCTTCTACCTTAACGCTACATTCATTTCAAATTCTCTGTTACGGTTGGTAGCATAACAGGCCTATTTCATTAAATATATATTTTATTTAAATAATGTTAATTAACTTGTTTAACTATCAGTAATAATTATCAATATTTGGCCAGCCTTGGTAGAGGATAATCATCTTTATTTTTACAGTGCAAATCAATATCCATTAAAAATCATAGGCGCAAATACATAGAAAAAAATTTATAGGAAGTGTTATTTTGCAAACATGTTGCATCGTTTGTTTATCAGAGTATTAGCCTTTTGCTAATATCCTCCATTTAATGTCATATTTTATGGTTGATGTCGTCTTTTGTTTCCATTTTGTATGGGGTGAATCGAATTGAAGGATGAACTTTAATTTCCACACAGATCTGGCTTTTAACAAAAAGGAACTTGTTCCCTACTTATATATAAATATATATATGCATGACACACGGATCTAGGCCAGATTGTCGAAACACAGTTGATCACATTATTATTTTGTTCCCACTGTTCTTTTGTTCAAGCATTTGTCAGTCATTTGTAAACTTGCTTTATTTAGTCACTATAAAAAAGAGTTCAGATTTTCTACACCGAAGTTGTTAAAAATCACCTTCTTTTGCCAGCTGGCTTTCCAACTATACTTTATCTTCATCCCCTCAGGAGGCCGCAACACCTCCAATTTATAGGCCCACTTTTACCCACGAAGGTGGAGGACACCCGGCAAACATGTTTCACTATAATTATTCGGCACGAAATTCGGCTGGATTTCGGCGGTTTCGGCAATGGGGTGAAATGGTCAAGGCCTAGGGCAGTGCCTTCTGCAAGGTGCGAGTTTCGTCGAAGTGGACTCGGCAATCTGGGCCTAGGATTCTACAAACTTGTCGATACACTTTTTTTTTTTAATTAAATAGAACACATTTTATAAGAACACTAAGGTTGAAATTGCTTAAAAATTAAGAACAAGAACAAATTGAGGCTGAGGTAAAATCTCAAATGAGGTTTTTACCTTTAAAAACCAAAAACTTATATCTCAATTTTTATGTGCTGTAAGGTGACTATAGTAATACCCTCTATTATACAGTACCGTGTAGGTGTCATGTAACATGGGGGCCATTTTTACTGGGCCACTTTCACCTACATTCCAGTACAGATACTGCACAATTTAATAATTTTCTATGTTTGAAAAAAGTGTGTAAAAAAAGAACAAAATAAGAACATTTTGATCCTGAAATTGGCCAAAAAATAGAGCGCTGAGCCTTTATGGCAAAATTTTACTGGTTTTAAAAAAAAAAAAAAAAAAAAAAAAAAAGTGTAGGCCAACATGGCAGAAAATTGGCCAATCCCAAAATTCTCCCCATGTGACCTGTCAATTATTTATAGGCCTATTTGGTTTTTCCCTGGTTTATTATTATTATTTCTACAATTTTCGTTTGACAAGAGGGGGAGCGTTGGATCCGTCTCTCGAGAACCACCACATCATTCATACTCTACTCTATACTGGGTGGAGCTATGACTTACGTATGTGTCTCGTGACCGTGAATGGATAATGACGTGTCATGGGATCTGGAGCATTTGTCGAATCAGCGAAGAGATCTTTTTCTCCATGCTTGCCTTCTTCCATTTTGCTGATTTGGATAATTATGGTGTTGTTTGTTTGGAACTGAATGTTTTTATCAAGTATATGTAGGAACTGCATACTACTACGCTCATTTCGTCTTTCAACCAACGGAGTAAAGCATTCATTTCTCAATACAGAGCGTTTCTGTAACATGGAGGATGTGGAACCAGAGTTTAGAATAAAAGCGTTTAACTTATGCCGTGAATATATTGGCGGTACATGGGCTAAGCACAGTGTTAAGGATTTCCAGATTATTCCCTTACGGTACGGTGGTGGCATTAATTTGTGTGCGATTAATAGAAGCATGATGTAGGCCCTAGGCCTAGCCTAGTAGTACTAGTACTACTAGGCCTAGCTTATTCCCCTAGGGGATAAACCCTAGGCCTATTGTGTAGGGTTGGCCTTATTTTAGGCCAGCACGGCCTAGGGCCTAGGCCTAATTATAGTTATTTGTCAGATTATTTAATAATTTTAATGAATATTTTTTAAAAACTAAATAATAAAAAATATAGATGGCTGGTGGTTATTATTCCGACGATTTACGTCAGATCTCTGAGGTGCTGATTGGTGGATGGAGTTCGCTTGCACTACGCCCTATAATGCTAGGCCTAGACTAGGCCAACCAAGGGCCAGATATATCGGATGGATAACCATTTCCAAAAGATATTTTTTTAGATGCGGAGAGTCAATACAAATTCAGCTGTAGTTTCTAAGCTACCTGTTCCACTTGTAATTCAACAAGGAATAGGCCTACAGTAGGCCCTGGAGATCCAGGGATGTGGTACTGCTACAGTGTGAAAGATAAAAATCTTTTTAAATTGTATACCTAGGCCTAGTTCTTATATTTGCATGACAAATTGAATCATTGGACCAACAACTGAACTTCCCATCCAAAAGTTGATTGTATGGAACTTCAAAAAAGGACAAAGTACAAGTTGTGGCAACATAAAACACAAGCAGTATGACTTGTCCTTTTGGCGTTTCATATGATGATTGATTGAGGTGCGTGTTGATCAAAAAGTCTTGCATAAATGGAGATACAAGGAAATAACGGTCTTTAACTCCGACCACAGTTTCAGTTCCATACTACGCTAACTCGCTCAGGTGTAACTAAAGCACTTCAACATATTGTTGATAAATTTACATAGAATAACTTTATCAAAATAAATTATTACAATATTATTGACAAAGGAATTTGTTGTGTATACAAAGTAATCACTTGAGCTTAACAACCTACTTGATAAATTTATACAATACAATAAATTTATGGAAGTTATTGTGAAATGATACTGTAGTCCAATCATTACACAGTGTTATACTGTAATTCGACATAAACAGAGAAATCAATCAAAAAAATTGAAAACGTCAAAATTAAAACATGTATATATTAATGCTTGCGGTACACCGCATAGGTAGTTTTGAAAACAACTGTTGGTGGTTAAGAATTTTGACGTTTTGATTGCAACTGCAAGCATTAATATAATATATTATTTTTTCACCCTGCAATCCTTCAAACACATTAAAACAATTAAGCAAATTTAGGTGTTATCTTTAATGTTGTTTTTTACCAAAGCATTTTTACTACAAAATCTGTAATTTTAAATTGATTAACAGTTGGATATGGGACAATGCAATAGAAAGGTAGGGCTCTCTATTTCCACATCCAATTATTAACAAGGAAAGGTTTTTTTGTTTTTGTTTTTGTTTTTTTTTCAATAAAAGCCAGGTTTTGGAGGAGAAAGATTTTTTGATATGTTCTACAAATGCATTCTAAAATGCTGAATTTTTATTCAAAGATAACTCGGAAGATACAGATTTTTTAACATCCTTCTTTAGCCAAGTTTTAAAATATTCAAAAATCTATACCTAATTATTAGCCCATTATTTTTTCTTTAAAATCAATCGTGCATCTGGAATATTTCCTACAGCACCCAATCAATTCTTAATTAGCATTTTAAATTAATTTTATTTTTGATAGTGTTTCTGGATTTCACCAGAATTTGCTTTTTTAAGGATGATTGTTTCTGTTTATCAATTAAAACAACAGGATAAAATGTTGGATTAACATGACTCAGTAGCCTAAGAAGTGTCAGTAGATTAGGGCCGTCCCTAGACAAAACAACGTAACTGACATTTTTGTCGATTTTTAGATAATATAATTTAGGAGTATATTAAACACTTCTGAATTATGTGTGAAAATTTCAGGTCACAAGCACAAAACTTAAAATCTAGTGATTTTCTGTTTTAAAGCAACATACATTAACTGCAACATTATGGGGCAAAACAATGTATCTGCAATGTTGTTTTGCCTCGGAATGGTATTCAAATATTGTTTGGGCTGATGGAGTTTGGCAATAGGCAAAATCAACTAGTTACTGCAAACATGCAAACTTTAGCTCTATTTTTCTCCAAAAGTGAAAATTTCAAGTTACGTTGTTTTGCCATGGAACAGCCGATTACTTGCTGTATATTCTCGCATACAGTATAAGACGATGCTTTAAAATAGCAAATTACGATCGAAAAACGGAGGGGCTCGTCTTATGTGCCCAACATACAAAAATCTTCTTAAACTTGGGGTACAGTTGTCTTTACAGTACGTGAGAATATGCGTTACTTGACTACAGTAGATTGGTTGTTTAAACTTAACGGCTTTTGACTCCTCTTCTGTTAAAGCGTAAATTTTGTTTTGTGTCCCCGACGAGAACAAGTGCGTGGAGCCATACTGTAGGCTGCTCTGAACTATTCAGGGTGAATCACCTAAAAGCTCAGGAAATTTGGAGATTTGAAAGGCTTAATATTTAAACGTTCTTGGAGTCTCACAATCAACAAAACTAAAAATTGGGGGCCCTAAAAAAGCTCAGGTAATTTGGAGATTTGAAATACTTATTTAATCGTTTTTAGAGTCTCACAATCAACAAAACGACAAAATTGATTGCCAGCTCTTCCTACCTCACGCCAAGATTTGAGCCAGGCTCCACAGGGAAAACATTTTTTGGTATGCTTTATGATTTTATTTTTCTGAGACACAAAAAAGGTGTTTAGCCAAAAACTTGTGAATGGTTAATGAACTTCACATATTTTTTAATATTTAAAAACTGGAGGGGGAGGGGAAAGTTAGAAAAAAGGAGGATTAATCCCCCTTTTCCCCCAGTTTTTATATTCAGAAATCTGTAATCGCATCCATTCCCAAGTTTGTTGTTAAACACCCTTTCAGTTGTACAACACATCAAAATATAAGTGGTTTCCTCCGGACCCTGGCTTTAGAATTGACCACATTATCAAAATGAATGAATTTTGGGCAGTAATAGCTATTTCCTATTGTGTATTGTTTTTTCATTCTGCTTATTTAATGACTATCCAGTTTGTTTCAATTTCTACACACTGGATGAGACTTTTTTGCCTTGCCTTAATGAAAAAATATTGAAAGTAAAGTAAAAGATTTAAAAAATTAGAGACTGACTTAATCTTAACATTTGATGTGAGAATTATTAGGGAATTTTTGTTTTGTTTTTTTATTGAAGATGTTAATATACTATTCACCACTGCATTCTTAATACAGTAGTTACTTTTTTTTTGTTTTGTATCAAGTTTGTTTTAATCCACTTAAATATGTATTGTCCCATAAACAATAAAAAAAAATCATAAAAATCATTTTTGAAATTAACTCATTTTGAAATAACATTAAAATAATGAACTTGAACATAAAAAATTGTGTATTCCAAAAATGCTACCCATAATTTTTTCAGAAGAAAAAATCAGGGTACATATTTTTTTAATTAATTAATTTTAAAGCTCAGGTAACATATAATTTCTTCGTTACTGCAAAATGAGTTAATTTAAAAATTAGTTTTTCATGTTCTTTTTGTCATTTTCAGGAGACAATACATCTTTAAAATGAAAATAAACACAAAAAAACCAAGCTTAACTCATCAGGGTTAAGTATGGTTTTTTTGAGGTGGATATGCCACAACTTTTTTTATACCTTGTTTCACAAACTCATTTTTTGAAAAAAAAAATGAAATTAAAATTTTGTTTTCCTAATTAGCAAAATGTTTTTGCAAAAAATATCCAGATGGAGGAGAAAATAAAAATAAAATTTTATTGGTGAATTAAAACGGTGTAGAACGGGATGGTTAAATTCTTTGAATTTATTATTAGGAAGAAATATATACATATTTTATTTTTGGAGTGGCGGGCATAATAAAAATAAAGAAAAACTTTTTTATGTCTCACCTTATAAAAGGACTTGCAGAACATGGACACTGATTTAGGATGCAAAAAATAAATGTTCTGTTACCCTAAGCCCAGTGCTATTTGAAATTATCTGGGTTGGTCTGTAATTTTTTGCTGAATTCATATTCTTGACAGAAATTTGACCTCTGAAAGGTCATTGTTTGTCAAAAAACATCGGCCTAAGACGACTGAAAAGCGGAGTTTCCTTCTTTCGTTCTGCCGGGTAAAATCAATTACTTTAGGCGACGTTTGTAGACTAACCAACACGTCCGCATGTCGCGCTAGCCTTATCCTACTCTCTAGACTAGCCAGGATGGTATAGGCCTAGCCTCGAAGGGACGAAGGTCCCAATGAAAAACAACGTCGCTCCTTGATAGCTAACATTGTCTACTTAA